AATAGAATACTTCCATATTCCATCAACCTTGCGTCCATTTCTAAAGTAGGACTCTCTGATAAACACTTTTTGGTCTTGAGAAAACACCATTTTAAACGCTTTTTAAAACGAAAATATTCAAATTGATAGCGGCGATATAGCGCTTGACAGATGACGTTTAAGTTCATTTGCTATACGCTACGCCCTACGTCCAAATTTTCAGAACCAACTTGACCACGTTTTTATTTGAACGCTCGTTAGTTATGTCACATTTTTGACACGTTGTTGTGCAACACCTGTATAATTCCATATTTATTTAAACGTATCATCAGAGGATAATACAAATTAGTTGGAATATGGAACGACGGTTACCGATAACAATTTTTTTGCTTACTGTCCCAATCTACTTCTCTAGAACATGGCGATGCTGTTTACATCTGTATAACTTATGTTTCCAGTTTTTCGTTAATTATATGTGCTAATGAAGTAGATTTCATTTTTATTTGAAACATGGTAATAACTATAATCTATTTTGCAAATAAGGGTGCAAAGAAACAACATCTCTTAAGAAATTTAAAGAACATGAACAGTCTACTCCTTTAATATGGTCGACTGGTCACAAAAACTATTTGTGAAAAGATTTATAGTTTTACTGTTTTGTATTATACTATGGTATTATATTTACAAAATAGTAAAAACTAGGTACAAACAAAAGTTAGTCGAGTAAAATTTAAATTTTAAAATAATAATTAGACATTTTTTCCAGTGTCATAATTTTTTAAGAAAATGCTTGGCAAAATATAATGCCACTTTGTTTATCCGTACGCTTACAAAATTTCGTTACAATATCTTCATTTATTCAGATGATATTCATACAGGGTGTTAGAAGTTTGAGTGCCTTAATTTTAACAGACGATAGAATGCATTAAAATAAAGAAAAAAACCCTATATGACATGGGTCCTAAACTCACCATTACCGAGAAAAAAATTATCGAAATCTCCAACTTGATGTACAAAAGATCGATTAATTATAGAAACTTAATTCTAAAAAATAATTAGCGTTGTAATAAATTTAAAATTCGATAAAATTCATATCGAGCAATGTGACAAAACGGCGCGGCGGTTTAATAACACGTGGTACTAAGGAGTCCAGCAACCACCAATACGCCATTCAGTTGGTATCTGGATTCGACCGTGTCGGAGTGTTTTTTGCGTACCACTATTTTCTTTTCTTGAGGTATTTTCCAGCGAGTCCGCGAAAATTGGATTCAAAGCTGTCGTGCATGCATCGTAAATGGTGGTGGACATTTTGAGCATATGTTGTATATTGTTTTGTACTTGTGCCTTTAAAAAATACTGAATTTTGCTTTTTGGTAAATACCTAATTTATTTTTAATACCTACCTATGATTATTTAGATGACGTGAATCTTTGGGTACTTTAATTACATATTTTTCAAATACCTAATTTGGTTAAAAGTTAAGTTCCTGTTTTAAGAGACTCATAATTACTAAAATTCGAGCTAAAATTTAAGCACAACATTATCTTCGTAGGTACCTACTACAAAATCGACACATTTTATTTTATTTATTTAAAATCTGGAAAACAATAGTCTTGAAATTTACTAAATGTTTCAAAATAATACCTAGTTGTTTACATTTTTTCCGTAGGACAAGTCTGCCGAGTGTTACGTGGTGTGCATCAGCAGGTTAAGCGCTGTTGTCACGTTGTGATGAAACTCGCTGTATTTTGAAAACTGTTAATCTTCCGCCCCTGTAATGTACAACTTATTCGTTCATTTTTCATTTATGATTATTCTATCTCATGCTCAAGTAATGGCAGTCAAACTTCTTACACCCTGTATACATATAAGTATGCAAAACATTTTTTTCGAGAACTTCTAACATATCTCTTAATTTTTGTAACAAGAAGCACTGTTACACCCTGTAAATGTCACGACAGCAACAAATGTTCAAAATCTACAGTAAAAACAAAAACTTAATAAAGCCTCAATTCGTTTTATCATTTTATGATATGCAGTAATTTTATAGTTCATCTCTAACATAGTTAAATTTTATTATAAGTACCCGTTAATAGATTTAATTCCACGTAGTCTTAATTATCTTTACGAAAAACCCGAGTATTAAATGAAACTCAAAAATTTCGTGGAATTTCTAGCCCATATGGGGCTACCTGGACGCCGAAACAAAAATTGGGAAAATTCAGTGGCGTACAAATAATGTATTCTTTGGGACTATCCCCACTACAGCAAAATTAAACATTTATGCGTCAATTATTTGTTTTTAATAAAAAAAAAATCAACTGAATTCAACTGAAGGTTGTGGAAGGAGTCCGAATTGAATTCTGCTGGGGGGGAGCAAATTTTGAAATTCCGCCACTGAACATAAAAGATCAACATTTCAAATTTAAAAAATCTGAAAACAATCAGAGCTAGGCGTTTTATCCAGTGTTGGCACACGTGACCATGACTACTACCAGCACCACCACGTTGTGCAGAATGTAAATAAAACGGACAGTTTTTATTGTTTTCACAACACGAAACCAACGTCACGCTGCCCACCACCTCCGATTCAACGTTCGTTTCATTTCATTTAATAATGGTTCTGAAGAGCGAGCGGATTGTGCAGTACCAAATGTTACAAGATTCACTTTCTTCGGCGCAAGACCTCGCTTATCTCTGTCTTGGAGTCATCGAGAGATAAACGGGCGAATAGCGTCTTCCATAAGGTCGAAAATCTTCGGGCAGCAGGCGGATGTCGTCGTTAATTTAAACAATGTAATATTCGATTCTTAAGGAGAAACAACTCTAGACCCAACTTGAATTCGTACGAGTGGACGCGGTGTTGCCGCGTCTTGCAGTACCGTCCCCATCAGATATACCAGGGTTCTTCGAAAAGTAACATTTCAGTTCGCTATATTTAAGATATTTGTAATTCTGATAAGGTAAAAGAAATGCAAAGTGGAAAACCTTATTCGTGTTTTTCTAAGACAAAGATGAACACTATCAAAAACAGTCCTAAATAATTTGAAATTTTACTAAATAAAATGATTTTGGCAGAAACCGAAAGAAAAACATTTTTAGTTACAAAAGCAGCTATGATTATTGGATTTTATAGAGCCTATAGACGACAGTAACTGGCAGATTTTTTAATAGAAAATGTTATAAACGGGACGATAGCTCAGTTTTTCTAGTGAACTTAAATGAAGTATAGATCCGATGTTTCTTATTGCACATTATAATTTGTTTGGATGCTCAAATTTTATTCTAGTAACAATTTTCCTTATTTTTTTCTATAAAACTTTTCGTGAAATTCAAATTAATATACATTGAATTAGAGAAAAAATATAGTACCATTTGAAAAAAATTGCCTGCCTCAAGGTGGTAGGTTTTGGAAAATATAGACAATTATCAGCTTATAACTTATAATAGTTTTAGTGTCATTCACGCTTATCTTTTTTTTTTCAAAATCGAATAAATCGATTGATCGGATTCCGTTATACTCGAAGTTTCTTAATTTTGGGCATAATTTTATGCGCCATGTGTATAAATATAAACTTCTATGTCTACATGTCGAGTATAGTCTACTACAGGCCTTAGACAACAATAATTTTAATACACAAAGTCCAAGTTAAGTACTTATTAGATTATTTAAAAGGAAACGACAATCTACATTGCATGCAGCTTTGAACCACGTTTTATTGTAATCAACAATTTTTATGCGCAGTATAATGATTCCGATAGCAATATCAATTGGAAATTGCTGATTATAAAGGAGCACATACAAAGATAATGAAAAACAATACATTTTAAAATTCAATCGTTAAATTCTCGGTATGGTATTTGCTATTGTTAATTTTTATTATCGACATATGTTTCGATCGATGTATATCAAACTTGAACATTTTTTAAAATTTCATGTACAAAACGAGATAATATACTTTTCAGTCTGCCTCTCTTTGATTATCTTTCCTGCTCCAATAGAAATAAATAAAAAATATATACCTATATTTCAGTTTTTCTAAGCAAAATATCCATCGCGAAAACTTACAAGTAGGCGATTGTTTAGTTTGTCAATTTTTTTGTTTGAGTCTCATTTTGTGAAAGTGCATGGATTAATAACTTATTTTTAAGGCAGCATGTAACCGTAAAGGACGTGTATTATTAAAATGGAATCAAGAAATCCAACTTTTTATATCGGTCTCAAGGTAGATGGAGTCATTTCATTACAAATAGAATGCAGATTGCTGCGGACGAGGCTCGCATCAGCAAATTGATATTTTTGCTCGGGCAAAATTAATTAACTTGGCACAAAAACTGTGAAGCAAAAATCTCAAATTATTTGCCAAAAAAAATGTTTAGTCAGCGGTAACTTGTAAGTAATTTTCAGGTTCACATCTCGCTGTTTTCAAATTTTCATCCCGATCCAGATTGGTTTTTTCCAAGATTGAACTTCAAGCCAACTGAAGGCTTAATCAATATACACATTCTCTCTTGCATTTGCACAAGTAAGACACATTTTTATGACAATAATAAACCACATCAATCTATTTTTACACAGTTTTAATAATTCTAAATATTCAAAACGTTTGCTATAATAATTTTTTAAACAATAAGATGACCGAAGAATAGGCTGCCTAATTCCATTTTTAATAAACATAAATAATGAGTCAAACAATTATAAGGTTGACCTATGGAAACAAATATAAAATGTTAGTAAATACCTCCAAAATTAGTTCTATTTCAACAATTCACCGTCCAAGTACACATGAAATTGAAGGTCAAGGTTATGCCGTTAAATAAATTGCCGCTGAAAATATATTATTTATTCACGGATAATTTATTCATAAATGGTTTTTTGTCTCTATGTCTGACAAAAGCTCGGCGAGCCGGCAACGCTGCGGTCGTACCACTACTGCTTCCAGTGACGTTTCCCGATTAGCGTCCCCCCACCAAGAGCTTTCTGAGAGTGGGACGGGACGCTAGAGTACAGAGTTTGTAAAAGAGAAAACGTCCAGTCACAGAGAGTACGCGGAAAAGAAAGGCACGCGATTACTGCGTCGTGGAACAGCGCACTATTTCGTGTAAATATCATAAAGCGAGTCTTCCAGTTCTAGCAGAATCGGTGTGTTGGTGTTTGAGAAATATTTATCAGTGTGGTGCTCCAATAGGAATATGTCTACAGCAATAATGTCCCAGAATGCCATGTACGAGTTTGGAGATAACTTGATCAAGGTAAATAAAAACAGAACGTTGTTTTTCGAGGCAGAGCCAGCTCGGATGTTTCGGGCAACGTTTTTTCCACCGCGTACGGGGAGCAGGTCCAAGTTTTACCTGCTACTAAATTGTGGCCAAGCGGGCACTACGCTAGGCGGCAGGTTGTATTTACTTGCCCACTCTCAAGGCCTCATCCCGCTTGCAAAACCGGCTCTTGGACTACCAAAAGCGGTTGAAAATAAGTTATGTGAGTACTGCGAGGCAGCCAGCAGCTCTTATCACTCGATGGGACTGCTTATCGTTATTAAAAGAACATGGACGTAGGCGAAGCGGTTTGGGGTACGGTTTTTGTCGATGTTTTTTCCCACTAACGATGTTTCGTTTGCTACTTGTAGCTTCGAAAATGTAAATAGAATATTCGAAAACAATGAATAATTATGACTGGTTGGATAAGAATCGAAATTCCACGTATGCCCTCTCATTAGTTACTTCCTAAATATGTTTGTAAATCTTCTGTTACTTTAAGTCTAAAGATTTAAATATTCAGATATCTAATTGAATACTAACGCAATTAGTACCTATTCAGATATACATAGTAAGTACATAAACAAAAATATGCCTGCAACTAATTGTTTAGGTAGATTCCAGATAGGCAGTAGATTTATTATTATTATTCTACGACTATTATTACAGGACCTTTATTGAAATAATTGAAAAATCGTTTAAACCTCATGTAACTACTAATACAATGAAGAAATAATTAGAAAGGGTAACGAATAACGATCAGGACTTTCTATTCTAGTTGAATCAACAGGTATTCATCTCTTGGGTAACTGCAATTGTCTTTTTCTAAATTTTGTAGTAAACAGATGGAAGCGCCTACAAATTTATCGGAAGAAACCAAAATATTTAGAAAAGTGAGTCATTTTTAAGAACTGACAGTAATGTAAACATTAAAACAACTTAATAAAAACATCCTGGTAAAGATATGATACAGAGATTGGAAAACAGTTTAGATGGAAATGCATGTTTAAAAAATGTATGTGGCTGGTACGCGAAAATCTCTAGCTACAAAAACAAGTTAAAACAGTAAAGCAGAAATTGACAAAAAATCTAAATACTTCAGAAATTTAAGAACAATTTACCATCGTCTGATTTAGATAATTTAGAGCTTTTAACTGAATTATTGTAGGTACAATTTAATTAATTTGACTTCTGTGTATATTTTTTTATTTTATCGAAAGAAAATCTTTAAATTTCAAAATAGTTTTCACTATTTGGACAATATTTTTTTATTTTGCCTATATCTTAGGTATAAATGTTACAATTTCGACTAAGTAATTGGAGACTTTTTTAAAATTCATGTGACTGAGAAGTTGCTTCAACGAAAATCTCTTGACGCGATTTTAAAGGATTTCGTGGTTGTGTTGTTCACTGCCATCTCGGATCGTGGGATAGCGGTTAGTTTAGCATCAAAATCGCGGGTTGGCACCAGTGAAAGTGAGTAGAAACTTCACTTTTAAAAATTCCGGGACCCACGAAATTCCGTAAACAAACCGTATATATAGAAAGCGACTGGCTCGCGGGTATGGCTCGGCAGTGGTCACATGACTGAAAAATCGAGCGTTTGTTTTGATCCGAGATGGAGAAAAGAGAAAAGTGTACTCCCACTGGTAGCTTTCTCACCAAACGGCTCGGTGTTTGTTGTCACTGTTGCGAGAAAGTAGGCTTTTGGAACGATAACTTTTACCGATTGTGTATGTATTTTTGTCCTGGCCAGAGATGAAAGTGCGGGATGCTGTTCCGGGGTTGCAGGGACAACCACTACCGGAAGATATTTGTGCCTCTCTCACTAATAGCCGATAATCATTATAAAGTAAGAAACTTTGATTAAATTAAAATCTCTAGAGCTAGTAAAAACGCGCATACTTGGCAACGTTGGATATCGTTTACTTGAGCTTAATTATTCTTTGTATAATTATTCTATTACCCAAATTTATGATTCAGACTCGGTTTTTCAACATTATCCTTCACTATTAAATCTAAATAACTATAATTTTATGCAACTGTTGTAAATATATTTCGTTTTAATTTCAGTTGTAATAAGGCGTATATTCAAGAATATACATAATTGCCCAATTAATAGTAATTTCAATTATGTGGTTTATATTGATTAATATTCAAAAGTAGTGACAAATAATTTGAAAATTTCAAGTATTTTTTTTATTTCGAATTGTATTTTACAGTAAATCATAGTAAGAAATTTTATAAGCTAAAACTACTTCCTACTGTCTCGTTTTTATAAGAAAATATTATCTAATATAAGCAGAAAACATTGTTTTAATTATAATTATCAGCTAGGAAGTTAATACCTCGGTTGATACTTCATATTTTGCCACTCTCAATAACATAACTTTCACAATAAAATCCTTAAAAGTTCGTATTCGTCAAAATAGTAATTTAGTTTGATAGTGTAGTAGTAACTATTACCAAGCAAGATTCAGACAGTTAAACATAAAATTGAAATATAAAATTATTAAAATTGAAAATTAAAAAATCAAAACAAACTACATGTGAATCTTTTAATTCATTACCGTTAAAAGTGTCTAAACACTTTGTAACGTCCATACACGATTTAGTTTCAATAGTTTGTTTTTAAACTGAGGTTGTAAGTAAGAGTTTTAATCGGCCTTTATTTGCAAGATTCTGTCAATTATTTCGTTTACATATTCATTTCTGTTTTTATTGTATATAGGATCTGCATAAATCAATGATAGAACCCTCCTGAAAAAGAGAAAAGTTCCCATGAACATGGGTTGGAAAACGTATAATTTTCGAGCTAGTTTCAAGTTGTATTTCCTTAAACTAATTTTTAAAATATATTCTAGATACCTAAAAATATAAATATTTAGGTACTTGTACTTACAGATATTTCTCTTTCTATGTGACAAAAAATGAAGTCTAAAATTTTGCCTCAGTTTCCTTTTCGTGATTTTTTTTTCCACTTATATAAGACTAAATCTTGGAACAAAATTAGATTTTTTTAGACAAAAATGATCTCGCGTTTTTCATTTCCTACCAATATTGCTCATTTCATGAGGAGATCTTTGTTTATAACATTTATGATTAGGCAGCAATTAAATAATACCTATTCATTTCCTTCTATAAAAAAAAATCAAAATTGTAAAATTATAGTTTCAAATTAGATCAAGGAAGAAGAAAAAATGTCGAGGAACAGGTAAAAGTATATACTCAAGGGCATTTAAATTGTTATGTTAAAAAAATGTTAAAATTAAAATACTTTCATTTAGGACTTATAAACCGAACACATAGAGTCCTGAGGATACGTATTAAAGACAACAAAACCTTGACGAAATCTGACAGTGGTTTTCAAGAGAAAGAAAAGAAAATTTTTCAAATCTACCTGGAAAACCTTGAAATATTTGGAAAATTTTAGGTTAAAATTTGAAATAGGTACACCATCTAAATACGATTTTAGCGTTTCATATGTACACTACGACTGGCTGCACGTTTCATCTATCCAGCCAGCATCGTCGGTTTAATTGATATTATTATTAACAATTTTTTTTATGTTGCGGGTTTCTGACGTTGATTTTCTGTTCCAGAATGGCATCACAAACTCGGAGGCGGCCGCGCCAGGAGCCCACCTGGCCGTCGGGTCGACGACGGTCCGACTCACGTTGTCAAGGATGGCCTCCACTCCGGCCACAGCGGCCAGTTCCAATCAGCTGGCGATGATCCTGGGCAATTTAACGCAGCAGCACAGGCGGTTAGAGCGCACCCAGTCGGCGCCCGCCCCCGCGGTCGCCGCCCCCGCAGCCGCCGTCGCCGCCACCACGGTCAACACGTCGCGCTACAAGACGGAGCTGTGCCGCCCCTTCGAGGAGTTCGGCGTCTGCAAATACGGCGACAAGTGTCAGTTCGCGCACGGCATCAACGAGCTGCGCAGCCTCGCCAGGCATCCTAAGTACAAGACGGAGCTCTGCCGCACCTACCACACGGTAAGTCGCAGCCTTGGAAGAGAACTTTTTTTCCTCTCTCGACTAAGACTCTTATTCGGCACGTACAAATACAGAGACCGTCTACAGGACACCTCTCGGTCCCCGTAAACTGCAAAATAACGCCGTAAACAATTGCATGCTAATGATTTGTTGTCAAATGTCAATGTACGTCTTATAGAAATATAAAATACTGATGGTCATTAACACAAATTTATAACATATTTATTGAATTAAAATTCCTTAGATCTAGGGAAAATTGCGGGCAGTGCGGCAACATGTCAAATAATAATCCATACAGTGTAGGATTTAAAAATAAATACTGTTGTGCATCCTAAGTACTCTGGCGCACCTACCACGCGGTGAGCTGTAGCCTTGCAGGAGCACTTTTTAATTTTTTTTTCCGCGTAAAACTCGCATTCAGCACGTACACGTACAATGTGTACAGAACACCTATCCATTCCCATAAACGATTAATATACAACGATTTTTTTATTTCATTTAAAATGTCGAAATATGCTACAAAAATGTAATATAGTAATAATTGTTATTAACACAAACCGTAATATGTCTTGAATTGAAATTTTGTAAATTGCAATATGTCAAACAAAAAAAACATTCTTTAGGACTTAAAAATAAATTCCCTTTTGCAAGTATAGAATACAGCCGTAGCACACCTACCACAAAATGTAAATAATAGTCGTCAAAGAGCTCTTTTTTATTGTTTCTCCCGTAAAACTCGTATTCAGCACGTACACACATATACTCCCATCTACAGACATTCGCTTGATTATAAAACGATTAATCAATAAAATAATGTCGATTTTTTACCAATTGAAAATTCCCTAGATGTAAAGAAAATCACGCGAAGTACGGCAACATAGTACACAATAGCATTTGAAAATAAATGCCTTGCATACTTAGCTGCGCTCGATATTTTCTGTAAATGACTGAAAGAATACTTTAATGTATTTTCTTGCATAAAACGTGTATAGAAAGCGTACACACACAATTCAAATATATAGAGAACCTATAAACTAACGAACGTTTTTTTATTTTTGTTTTCATTCAAAATAACAACATATACTTAGCAAATGTAACATACCGATTGACATTAATAGAAATTAAAATATCTTGGATTGAAATTCCCTAGATCTAGGGAAAATGGCGAAGTACAACATGTCGAACACTAATTCAGATTTTATAAATGATTTATGGTCATTTCGTTTCATTTAAATGAATTTCAACTCGTATAAACTCTCAGATTATTTTGACAGTTGACAAAGTTTGGAAGCAATAAAAACAAGAATCTCCGTTTATGCTGACGAATAGCTGCAAATTAAATTAAGATTATTATTGCTCGATCTCTAAACTTTGTTATAAGTTTCCGTATTTATATTTTTTATATTGTCCTGTACGTAAAATTGTTCAATTAGCGATAGGTTATGTCATTCCAACTTCTTTATTGCATGAACTAAAAACCCGTAGCCTCTGTTAATATAACATATGTCTACCGAATGCTGCAATTTGTGTATGGCATTATTCTAGTTTGTTAATTTTCTCTTTTGGCATTTTAACGCACTTAAACTCTCGACTAATAGCGAATGCAAGTTATGCAATATTTTATATAAGTTGTTTAAATACACACGCGACTACAACTTGCAGCAGTAAACGTACAAAAAACTCCGTGAAACGGCCGACCGCAATGAACGACTGAAAGAAAACGGAAATTAAACCAAGTCTATAATTGTAACTATTACTTGTTGCAGGTGGGCTTCTGTCCCTACGGACCTCGCTGTCACTTCGTGCACAACCAGGACGAAGTGGCCATCCAGAAGACGGCGCCCCAGGTGTCCGCCCTTCTGAACGCCCGGACGACCTCTGTGGTGGCCTCCAGGCCTCGGCCAGCGGCGCTGAGCCCTTCCCTGTCTTTGGACAGTCCCAGCCCCCCGTGCAGCCTCAGCCAGTCACCCACCTCCTCCATGGGCTCGTTCTTCAGCAGCGAACCCGAGCTGCACTCCCCCGGAGTGGAGGACCAACGCCTGCCCGTTTTCAATAGACTCATAGATACGGCGCAGCTGCTCTCCTTCAGCGACTTGATGCTGTAGTGCAAGTTTTATTGCTTTTACAACGGAGGGTGGAGTGGGAGCTCTGGGGTTCTCAGCGCGCCGAGGAAGGTGGCCAGGTGCACGATAAGACTATTTTGGAGTGTGGAAGTTTGATCGACTTGCTTCTTGGTTCAAAATTCGCAGAGCAGCCTGCACCGAGAAAGAGCGAAGAGAGAGAGATGTATACTAAACACTGTTTTTGGAAACTGTAGTAAATTTTACGTAAAAATCAAACTCGACTGTTTTAGCAGGGAATATAAAAATTAATCAAGTGAATTGTCTTGGCATAACAAACACATCGTACTATTTAATGTAGTAGGATTATTTTCATGATTCTTTTTCTGGGTGTAGGGATTTCCTTCCTTCTCTCGAGGCATTTGTAGGTGTAGTTAGGACTCCGGCGTTATCCGTAAATTTCCTATGTTCGGAGCATTGCTAGAATGTAGTAATGTTGTCTCTCCTCGACTGACTATATATATAAGTGTAATTCGCAAGTTGATTCGTTGGCACCGCGCCATCTTTGGGTGTGCGCGAAGAACAGGGGTTCCCAGTCTACCACTTAACTCAGACTTTATATTTAATTACAGTGTCTTATTTATATTTACAAATAATTATCTCGCCAGAATGGCGGCGTGATTTTGATATTGTGTGATTTTTTAAATATATTATTAAATTTATAAGAGGCGTGTTTTATACGAATGTTGATAAAATGTGAATGTGCAAGTTAGGTTAAGTTAAATTCATCGGTCTCGATTTTCCTAACATTCCGTGATCGAAGTTTATTTATTATTTTTTATTATGCTTTCTCATTTTGTTTTCCTTTGTGTGCCTATACAAGCGACCGATGAGAGGATAAGATTTTTTTTTGTTATTTAAATCATTATTTAATTTGTGTGTTTCTCATCAACACGTTTATGTTATGTAGTTATTTTATTATTATAATTTATATGTAACTTATTATTTATATATCGCAATATTTAGAGACGATCGTGCTCATTGTCAGTCGGCCCGCCTGTAGCTGACTGGCCGGGAGTCCGCGCAATACCTGTATATTATTTATATATTGTAGCTAATGTATCTTTGTATCATTATCAATAAATTATATTTTGTTCTGTAACTTGTGTTTCGTTCCGACCCATTGAGCAGGCCTCGCTGTGCCCGCCGCTCCCAAAAACACCGGCTGCGCGCTAACCGCGCCGTTGCCACACTTCACCTTTCTCCCGAAATCCACAGAAAACCCAAAACCACCCGCAACATGGGAATCGTATTACGTGTGACTGATCGGGTAATTGAAGATGTATTAAGCAGGTTGTATGACAATCTGCAAAACCTGGAATACTCGGCGTATTTCATCATTTTTTAAAATTCCATTTGTGATTGGTCTTTATTTACGAGAAACTGCCACTAGGTATTGAATATCACTGAATTTTATTAGTCTAGAATAAAAGAAATTTATAACTGATTATCAGATAAACAGTTTAGAAATACCGGTCGATTCTTAACTTTTGAGAAAGTGGAATTAATTTATAAAAATTAAAAATAATTCTTATTAAAAAACGGATTTTATAAATTCTTGAATCTGTTTTTATAAAAAAATTAAATCTGCCACTTCGAAATATTGTTAAATTAAATAAAATCGGAAAAATGTTAGTTTTTAATTTTTAAATTCTAGGTCATTTATTTTTAACTTGCGTAATTTTTTAGAATTCGCTATTATTAATATTACTGCTTTTTGTTCAGCCAAAATTTCCTCAAGAAAATGTAAACTTTTGGCTTGAAGTAAATAGTCCAATTTTCTCTTAAATTAGAAACGTTATCCCTGAAATTTGGACAATGAAAAATTATTAGAAGTATTTTTTAAATTCATAAATAAAAATGTTTCCCATTTGTAGCTTCATTGCGGCCAGTGCTTAATTTTTAAAAAAGCGTGCTCTGCTAAAAATACGTATAGATGGGAGGTATCTACAGGAAAAAAATTATGGTTAATAAAAAATTGAGTGATATTTTTTCAACTTTTCAAATCTCCGGAAATATCGTGGAACATTTTGGTCAAAATTTGGTTAAACACTACGTATTAGAATTCCAAATAGACTGTCTTAATAATCTTAATATCAACAATTATAACATAGGTAAAAGTCAATAAATTAAGAAATTTGAATTAAACTTCACATTTAGTTTTTCTTACTTTTACATATGGAATATTTTCTCTAAATACAGAGATTAACCGATAAAAATGTAAGAAACTCATTAATTATTTTAACCCATATAACTCAAAGTTATAAAATGTCTCAAAATAAAGATAAGATAAACATGATGAATGATAAGTTTCAATTCTGACTAAACAAAAGAACATCACTTTTTTATGAGGAACTGTAACAATTAAGGGAATCGAAACTATAATTAATTTATCACTAAAACACATTGAAAAATTTTGTGTGAAACGATATGGGAAATTATTCTACTTATGTAGAAGTTGTCACATAAAAGTGACTGGTAGAAAAATACGTTTATCAATTCATGGAAAACCTGGAAATATCCGAGTTTTGTTGAGAAACTACCGAGAATAGTGATTAAAACTGGAAACAAAAAAAACGTAGTACCTCAACGACATACAATTAACTAAATTATAGTTTCATAACCGATTTATTTCGTTTCCGGCAAAAACGTCTAGAAATAAATTGTTTACTAACATAAAAAAATATAAACCATGCTACCGAACGACTTTTTCAAGGTTAGATGTGATTAATACATATTTTTCATTCTGTCGTGATATCTGGATAAAGAGACACTGCTGCACGCAATTGTTATAACAAGTTAAAAAAAATTACTATGTAATCGACGCATGTAAGTAAAATTAAATATCTGCCTAAGAAGGGATTTTATAAGTAGGTACTCATAACTTTTTAATTCATACACATTCTAACAATTTGTTTCCATTACAAAATAATGGTGTGAAAATAAACATTTTTTAATATCGTCAAGGAAAAAGCGATTATAGCCACAATAAATAACTTGCAAATAAAAAAATTCAAGAAACGTTAAGGGACTACTGTAACTTCATTAATTTTTTATTTATTACCTTTTTAAATTTTTTTTAACGTTACCAAACATTCCACAAGATCTAAAATAACTCTAAAACTATTAATTTCTCAAAAAAGTACATGAGTTTTTTTGTTAAAAATACAATTTTAAATACAAATCAATTATGAAGTATCCTAAAAATCAATGGCGTAGAAGTTTGACGATTTGTTGGAGTTAGCAAGGGTATGGCTTGGAAGAAAATTTCGTTTACGACGATTGCGTTATATTTCAAATAGTATTTTTAGAAAAAAATCGTGCGAACGTTTGTTTGCGAAACTAGTAGTTCTACAATTACACCATCACACAAAAAAAAAAGTTGTCTGAAATGTACATGCGACATATGATTTCCCATGTATTTTCGCCCGCTGAACACGAATCCGGAGTCAGAATTGCTCCATCACCCTTCAATTCTGGAAAAGGAAAATTTTCATTTTTCAGAAGATTCTTCAGCGTTTTGCTGAAAATTGAAGGGCGATGGAGCAATTCTGACTCCGGATTCGTGTTTATCGTATCATTAGCCTAAGTTTTGTCATTATAAACCAAACATTTTCAGAGATCCCAATTGACTCAAATACCTAGTAACAAAGATGGAAATTGCCACTTAAATACCACTAGTAGCGCTATAGCTACAGATTTCATTTAAATAGGTCTTCAAAATTATTGAATATCATTAAAGATACGTGGTTACAGAAATTAAATCTCGTAGTACCTACTAATCTTTCCGTTTATTCATCAATACCAAGCTTGATCGACGCATTTCTGAAAAAGTTCATTGATAACTGCAAAGATGTATCATCAAGAAATCTAAAAAAATCACTTCGATAAACGCTGAGCTGAACAGACGTCTCTAGTTTTATTGTTTTATTCATTAGCCCTAATCCAACAAACGTAATTTTCCCAATAGAGTGAAAAATAACAGTAATTGTGACTCAATTGGGTGATTTTAAGTGACCCCTAAGTTAGAAATCACACTGACAATTTTAATCGCAATTTAGTTACAATATTACAGGTGAACACATTAAAGTAACTTAAAGACTCTTTAAACGAAAAATATGTTACGAAAACGTAGGAAAAATTACTTTGAACTGACGAAATTACCATTTGGAAGAGCCACCTTCTAACTTCGCCATTTCTAACTTTTTATTAGTGTGATAGCTTTTGTGGGAATGCCATTTTCATTAAAAGTCTGATTTCTATGAGCTCGTTAAATTTTTACGAAATCACTCTATATTTTTAAAATCACTTAAGGAATCACCCCTTAAAGTTTGTCGACGTATAGTCTTTCCGATCTCAATTGAAGAACCAAGAGGTTGACAGTATGTTATGTACCAGGTTCGGTCACTAACGCAGCAACTCGGCAGTGAAATATTTGAAAAACTTATTCACATTTTTATTTAGCCATACCCATATACAGGTCTAGTCGCCCAGTTGAGGAATGAGCGCACGGACAAACGCGGCATAAACACAGCAGCACTGGTCACTTGGCCATAAATTCGGTTGTCAACAAATGGCCTAGCAGTGCAGTGCAACAATACGGAATTTGATGTGATTCAGGTAACTTTAATTTATCCTCCTCCTTCTATTAATCATTCATATTACAATTGTGAATGGAAGAAATAAGAGGGATATTTTGGTTACTAATATTATCATAACATGGCATTTTGAAGGTCTTTTGAAACGGAACAAAATGAAAGTTACCATCAACAAAATAAAATTGTTTGAGAACCAAAATAATTTAAATATGTTTTTTGTTAAATGAGCATATAATAGAAATTTTCTATACATTATAAACAAATTATTATAATTTTTTATTTTCAGAGGAAAACTTTTTTAGAGACGCCTATGAAACTCACGAAATTTTATTGCTAGATGTTTTTATACATGTTTATCTGACTTTGGAGAGACTATACCTACTTCATTAACAAACTATGTATTCTTCACTTGGTTACTCTCATTCAAAATGTTCCATTTACGCCACTACTCTGCAATTTCAATCGGTAATTACGTGGCTGCTTTTCAATTTGTTCGTGTACTTGTGTTATCAGCACATTTTATCAAAACCGATTTTTTCAAGGTCGGGTTAAACTGCACATTCTAGAAAACAAAAATAAACAATCGAACTTCCGCCGCTTCTGCCTCCTAATTACTAATTCAAATATTTCGACTTCCTTAATCATTTGTCATCATTGTGGGAGCGTTTTTAACGTCAATCCCTATGATTCTCTTAAGTAACAGTTATCTTCTAGAAGTGTAAACATGCATTTAATTTTTTTTAATTTTTCACAATGGGTAGTTAACATCATAGGACATTTTATTGAAGCCCACATCAACATTCCTCCGGCTGCCGTTTAGTTGACGCGAAGGCAGTGCATTTTAAAGTCAAATTACAGTTTAACAGCGTTATCCCAGCGTTTCGGCGACGAAATTGAGCTGGGGAAACTCACGGGTCACTCCATCAGGTGGCTTCAGACTACATGTAAGTTGACGATTAGACGTATCCTAGTAAACGCCTTTTAAATTTCACATACCTACACTTATTGCGAGGTCGTTGACCCCTTTTAGATAACAACACGGGTCAAGCGCACATGCGAAACTGCACCAACACCCACCTGAGTACACCATTTCATCGTGTCATTAGATTATCGAAATTATGCTGCGCCTACTGACGCAGAGACATCATCAGTTACACTGGGAAAAGGACTATAAAAAATATAACCTTTTACGTCTCAATTTCCTCACGAGGCAAGTGCGTTGTGTTGAACAATAATAAGCCGTCCCCTCTCCCGCACAAGTTTGCTTAAATAAGATATAGAAATAGTATTAGTTTTAAAAACATAATTATATGTTATTATTAGCTCTAGCATTTTTGTATTATATGTATTTTAAACTTTTTCAGAAGAATTCGATATTTTTTTAAAACACCTTATCTAGATTTGACTTCATTTGATAAAATTTAAAAAAAAATTGTATAAATTAGCTGACTGCCTTTAAAATATATTTAAAAATGCTATGTTACTGAAATATTTTTATTAAAAGGAATTTAGCAACAAGAACAAATATGTTTTTAGAAAAAAAAACAATTGATCTAGTCATATTCAAAGCTTTGGACACTGCTGTTTCAAAATTACATTTTTTCTAAAAGCTTGATATTTATACAGGGTGTCTCTGAAAAGGACGGACAACGCTTGACCACAAGTTCCTTGGATGAAAATAAGACTATTTAGCTTAACTTACCTATATACAAAAATGCACGGCTACTCAGATATAGCCTTCTAAATGTAGAACAGATAACCTATTTTTTTCAAATAATTTGAAAACTGTTTTTCTTAGAAACTTCAAACTTGGTATACATATTTTTTTATATAAGGGCAATGTAAATGTAGAATTTGGTGAGAATACATATGCAGGATGTTCTCTTTCTAGTGTCTGTGCGCCACTGGCTATTCCGTAACTTTTTTGTGTGTACGCCAATGACGACAGAATTTATATTTTTTAAAATAAGTACTATTTTGGAAGATTTTTTGCCTCTTGCAAAATTTTGATATTGTTTATGAATTTCGAGTAAAATTGGCATTTTTTACACATTAAATAATATAAAATCAGAGAGATAATTAGAACAGACTAGTACGAGGTGCCATATAACAAACAAATACATAACAATAATTGAAAGGTTCAGTGTCAGTGCAAATATAAATAATTTTTTTACAAATCGGAATTTTTGCCTATATTTAATGTATAAAAAATGCCAGTTTTACTCGAAATCCATAAACGATAGCAAAAAAATGTTCTTAAAATAGTGTTTAATCTTAAAAATATAAATTCTGGCCTCACTAGCGTACACACAAAAAAATTACGGGATAGCCAGTGGCATACAGGCATTAGAAAGAGAACATCCTGTATATGTATTATCACTAAATTTTTTATTTAAATTGTGCATATATAAAAAAATAAGTGTACCAAATTTGAAGTTTCTCAGAAAACTAATTTTCAAATTATTTGAAAAAAAAAACTAGGTTATCTATTATATATTTAGAAGGCTGTATCTTAGTAGGCGTGAACTTTTGTATATAGGTAAGTTAGGCTAAATGATCTTATTTTCATCCAAGGAACCTGCGGTCAAGTTTTGTCCTTTTCAGGGGCACCCTGTGTATAACTTTTTCTGTTAATATTTATAATTCGTTGCCAGAAGATAAATTACCTGATGAAACAGTCCTAAGTAAAATGTGGAAATAAAAAAAACTATTTGCAGTAGCTGGTTTTTACCCGATTAGATTAGTCTTAACAAATAATAGAAAAATAAGAGATAATAGATCAACAAGAATACAGGATATATCTTTGCATGATTACGTTTCTCTATTAATTAATTAGACATAACATTTTAGACTTTATTTTGTATAATTATTTATTACCAGCTGTTTTACTAGTTACTGTTGGTATAATTCAATGTTAGTTGATACATGTAACCCATACAGTAGTTATTTCCCGCAATATCAATAGTTAGAAGTCTTATTAGGGTTAGATATCATTTACATACATAGATTTCTGGTATCGAAGAAAATTGTTTTACTTTGAGGATAAAGGAGTCAAAACGTCGGCAATTTTAAGAAAACAGTGAAATTCATCGCCCCTAACCCATGACTAACCCATGTACTAAATTCAGTAAAACTTTGTAGGTGAACATACATATATTAATTATACTGCTTCTGCTTTTTTCTTGCTTATTGTAGCAGGTACGAGTATATTCTATACCGCTATATTCATGAAAAAAATAGTCTACATATTTTGGAAAACATTGCCATGAAAAATAAGTATGCATATTTGTGCAAGAAAACTATAACAATAATTGTGATCATGTTTTAAGAAATATTTTTGTATAATTCCACAAAAAAATATATCATTTTTATTACAATATAATTTAATGAGTGTGTATTGAATTCAACAATTTGTATCTAGATACCTCTTTGTATTTTGTAGTAGAAAGTAGTAGTAAGTATACCTATGTTATGAAAACATTTACTAAATCATGTTTTACCACAATGTTGTATTTTTATTTAAAATTATCTATTCTATCTAAAATTTTTAAAAAATATTGAGACTGATCTGGCCTTGACATGCGCAGTAAGATTTTTTTGTTACACCTCTGGCTTTTACAGTTTTAATATATTAAATTAATCAACAGTGCTGAATTGTTAAATTTTTAATATATTTTTTCCGTATAGAATTAAGTGATTTAAACTGGCAGATCGTTATTCGAGGCATATTGTTCTCATTAATTTTTACGTCCTGACAATAACGCTATCGGACAGGAAAGGAAGTTAGATTAAAGTTAGAATTTAAACCCAGAATTTGAGACTTCAGAATGAAATTAGGTATAATAAATGTAACTTGCCAACACCAATAATAAATATTTCCCAAAGTGGGGCATGCTTTCGATTTTCTAAACGTGCTTGGAGGAATTTCATTGACCTTTTAGGTAATTTCCATCTAGACATAATTAAGGATATATATGTAAATAATAAATATGCAAATACCTGCACAAAGGCAGGTAAATCCAAGAAAACCCACTTGCTTAGAGTGGCTTGAAAATAAATAACAATAAAATGGAAAGTATATTAATGTAGAATAATTTTATTAAACTATAAAAGGCGTTGTCTTATTTTCAGCAATACTTATACAGGGCACTTCAAAAACTATGTGACATCGCTAGAGAAGACATTCTAGAACCAGCCCTTGGACATGTCTCCACCTTTTTATTGCTACAGCGTGTACCTTTTTAAATGTTTTTGGTAACCCAAATTTCATTGAAGTAACTAAAGTTATTTCCGAAAAAATTTTTTTAGTTATATTCGCTCAGTATTTTAGTAGTTATAAAGTTTCAAATGTTGAAATCAAATAATTTGTAAAGGTGGCTAGGAACTTAACACCAAAATAATGTCATACCGCCCATACTACCACGCAAATCCTTGACGTTTGTGTTAATTTTTGAGACAATGAGAGGTAGAATATGAATGTAATAATTGTTAATAACCCAGCTAACATTATTTAACGACTAATTGTTAATAGCTTTCAAGGGTTAAACTTGCTATCCCATTGACGTGATGTGATACTTTCTAAACAGTATATTAGTATCAGAAATGTCTAAATATTTAATAATGTATTTTCGATCTACGATCAAGGATAATTTTGAAGTTTATGGAAGTAATAAACAAATTTACTGAGGTTTAATATTGGTGTTGGTTTTGGAACCAATCTATGTTATTAAAAGCAAGCAGGTAAACTCAGATGAATATTTCTAGACAATATAAATTATAAAATATTATTTTTAAATTTACTCTCTATTTTGTCTTTGTCGTAGGATGCCTACACTGAACACTAAAAAACTTCTGAGTAATAATAATGCTTTTTATAAATTCTTACAATTTACAAACAAATGTAGTGGAGGATGTAGGTACGCATAATATTTAACATCCTATTCCGAAGGTTTTAAAAAAAATGAATAATTCGAGTTTCAATTTGGGCTCCGTTCATTATGTCTAAAGACGTTGTTTTATTTGTATCTCCCTCACGTAGCCAAATTCGTTAACATTTTAAAAGTGCTTTCATGGCTACGATGTTCAAGGTAAAAATACGGAGACTGCGAAATGAAAGGAATAACCAACTCATCACTCCGCTGCCGCTAGTTTGAATATATTCATAAAATACAATCATTATTTATTCAAGTAAATTTAAAAAAACTTACTAGCTAAATTATACATGATGCCCATTCAATTCCAATAGCATTTTTTAAATTGAATAGGACATAAATTTGGTAAATAATCCTCACATCACAATAGCTTGTTTGTTACATCTATTTATCTATTATTCGCGGAAATTAGATCATATTTCTTTATACCAATTGCGTCAGTGATCCGTTTTTATTTTTTGTGCGTTATCTGATAAGAACTGATAGATAACTACCATGATTATTACAATTTATAATGTACCCACTTACATTAATAAACACAGCGTGTTTGTGTTCGCTACCGCCATCTATAGACTGATTGTGGAGTAAGAAGTAGTCGCTGGCACCATCTATTAAAGAAGATAATAATTACTTGTATCCAGCGCCATCTGGAGACTAATAGAATAATCAAAATTAAGAATGTAGTCAAACCATACACAGATAATTTCCTAATTTCAAAAAAGTAACTGTTTCAGTCGTTTAAGAACTTCCATATAGATGGCTCGCAATCGGTCTTTCAGAATGAAATAAAAACGGATATACTAATTTTTTATAAAATACGCATGGAGTCGTTTTAAACGTATTAATGTAGGTTAAAACTACTATAGTGTAGGTACATAGTACATATATTTTTAATCATGCCAATTGTAAATATGAAACATTTCAACATCTAATAAAAACATTCATACAAGAAGTACATTATAATTATAGTTTTATGAAATGTACAGATAAATTTTAAAACACCATTTTTTCTATTGTGAGCCTTAGAAACCTACACGCTATATGGCTTGTGTCGACTCGAATTTCTGTAAAATTTATTTAATGTGTTCACTATTTTTCACATTCATTCCATAATTATAACAATTGGTATTGTTACACTTTTAAGATTTAATAAGTGTAACTATAATTATCTATGATTCCAACACTTCCAAGTTCCAACTTCTTGCGGACGTGCCATCTAGAAATATCAATAGGAACTTTTGCGCTGCGCTATCTACATGTAAAAAATAAAGATGTATGTCCTCATACAGATATCTGTATTAATGTTTGGCATCTAGTGAAATTAAGTAAATCTAATCAAATAAAAGTCGTACCACACCCTTCTTTATCCACTAATACTTTCTGTCATCATGACGAATTATTAAAAACTAACCTAACCAATAAACTACAAAAAAAATTACAAGTCATTAACAATGGAGGCTATGGATGTTGTAGTGCCAGAAAAAGTAAGTAAAAAAATCTAATTGTTTTTATTAGACGTCACTTGTGTTTGATTTAGTACCTACTTGTAGTTAATATTATAGTTTTGCATTCCGCGATGAGTAGCGGCCGCAATGTGGTGAAAATGAACGAGTACATATAAATCGTGTTTATAACTAATTGATTGTATTTCAGGAAGAAGGTAGCCCTTCTGATGCGAAGCAAACCTTGCAGGACTTAGACACAGAGGATTTGTACACTAAGTACAAAAAACTACAGCAGATGCTGGAATTCTTAGAAGTTCAGGAGGAGTATATTAAAGATGAACAGCGCAACTTGAAGAAAGAGTACCTACATGCCCAAGAAGAAGTTAAAAGGATACAATCAGTTCCTCTAGTAATAGGCCAGTTCTTAGAAGCTGTAGATCAGAACACTGGAATTGTTGGCTCTACAACAGGTTCAAATTATTATGTTAGGATACTTTCCACTATTGACCGAGAATTACTGAAGCCTTCAGCTAGCGTCGCATTACACAAACATAGTAATGCTCTTGTCGATGTACTGCCCCCAGAGGCCGACTCTTCCATTAGCATGCTGCAGGCTGATGAGAAACCTGACGTACAATACAGCGATATCGGAGGTATGGACATGCAGAAACAGGAAATTAGGGAAGCAGTGGAATTGCCTCTTACGCATTTCGAGTTGTATAAGCAAATTGGTATTGACCCTCCAAGAGGAGTCTTGATGTATGGTCCCCCTGGATGCGGGAAGACTATGCTTGCTAAGGCCGTCGCTCATCATACAACAGGTAACATATTTTTTTATTTCTCAGATACCTACACTTTACAAAAGTAAATTGAAATATATTATTTCACACAATATAAATTCTAATTATGGAATAGGAACAAAGAACATCACAAACAGGCATTATAATTAATACAATAAGTTTACGACAAACGTCCAGACTATGATACTCATGCTGTCTTCATGGAATATATTTCTAATTGTTTAAATATTTCATGTTTCAGCTGCTTTTATTCGTGTTGTTGGTTCTGAATTTGTTCAGAAATACTTGGGCGAGGGCCCTCGTATGGTGAGAGATGTGTTCCGTCTTGCCAAGGAAAACTCGCCAGCTATTATATTCATTGATGAGATTGATGCGATAGCCACAAAGAGGTTCGATGCTCAAACTGGCGCCGATCGTGAGGTACAGAGGATTTTGCTCGAGCTGTTGAACCAGATGGACGGTTTCGATCAAACGACAAACGTTAAGGTAGGAAAAATGTCGATGTTTTCGTGCGTTAGCAAATAAAATCGATTTGTTTTAGGTTATTATGGCTACGAACCGGGCGGATACATTGGATCCAGCTCTGCTTAGACCTGGACGTTTAGACAGGAAAATTGAATTTCCTTTGCCGGATCGCAGACAGAAACGTTTGATATTCAGTACGATTACCTCAAAAATGAATCTCTCGGAAGAGGTAAGTGTGATGTAACCAATATTACGTATAATAACTCAAAAATAACTTGCTTTTTTAATAAAATGGAGAAAATATTCTTTGAAATACGATTAAGGGGTTATACCTTGTTGGGATCTAAAAAATGATGTGGTTTTCATAAATTTTGTTGACTATTCCTATAAATATTTTTTGAAACGCATATTTTTTGGAACTACTTGTAAACATTTTTTCAGTAAAAAAATATTAACAATTGAAGCAAATAGGTTCTCTGGCTTTTTAGGTTTCCAGGTTTTTTTTTGGAAATATATTTTTTTAAGGAAATAAAAAATTCTTTGTTCAGGCCCTGACTATTATCATAATGAATAAGCATACAAAATTTGAATTCAATCAGATTAATAGTTTGAGTAATCGTGGCCACGGTAATGGTGGTTTCAAAAAACAGTTTTTGAGAACGGTCACGTTTAAATTTCAAGTCGTCGATTTCAGTACGATAAAGGGTCATCCTACTCTCATACATAATAAAAAAAGTATAGAACTTATTAATCTTGATGCGTAATTTAAATTGTTTTCACAAATTTTTAATAAAAAGTGTTTTTTCAAGCACTGCGTTTAGTTGGTAAATCTGTCAGTGACCTGTGACATTGACCTAGTTTAGGTGAACTACGTAATGTTTATCCACCTGATGTGATATGACAGGGTGCTGGCTGCCAAAAAAACCATTGGCAAAACAGAATGGCCGAATATATCACTGCTGTATCTTATTACATTTAACTCGATTTTCAGTTTATCAGTTTATGAGATACCTTCTCATAAACTGGTAATATGGCAAGTAATTTTGTAAGTTTCTGCGTGAAGTATTAGATTTTCGGTGGTGTATTTATGTGTCTTCATTGTTAAATTTGTTTTTTTTTTCAAGAGGCACCATTTATAATCCTTTTTATCACTTTAGGGATTGATAGAACATCAAAAATAAATTTTTTTAAAATAGTTCTAGCCGTATCTTCTCCAAATACAAAAACAGCATAATGTATTAAACTTTGGTATCAGTAAGTTTTCAAGGATGTTAAAATCTGTTAAGTGTTTATGACATTTTTATGACATCACTTTTCGAGCTTAGATTTGTTATAGTTTATAATAAACTAATGCAAAAGGGTCAAAAGAATTTCCGAAATTTTTCCGTGATTTTTGACAGACTGTATTTAGGTGAAAAATGGTCGTATCGGGAATTATTTTGAAGCTCTAAGCTACTAGTTTTTAGATCTTTCCGTCAAAATTTTTGAAGTGCGACAAAAAAATTTTGCAATTGTTTTTTTTTCCGAGTTCATGGACTTGGAAAATGGTTGTACAGAGAATTGAAGGGCAGTTTCGAAAACTGGAATAAATTTCCTATAACATGCTGCCGCAACTTTTCGGAAAAAACAATTTTTCCCATCGTTTACACTAATTTAAAAAAACACAAAAAAACGAGTAATTTATGGATTTTTAGAAAATTGACGGCTAAATTAGAAATATTCACAAAATGACTAATGTTAAGCATGGCTTTTAAAGTTCGATATATCCAGAAGAAGTTTCATCTTGATCTGGCGAACCATTTCTTTGTTTCAGTTAAAACTTTTGAAAAAAATTAAAGGGTCACGTTTTTTGAGCTTAAACACTTCATAATCACGATTAAAATGGAAAAAAAATTGTTTGAGGTTTTCTCACATTTTAACAGCAAATAACGTTTAAATTGATGAAAAAAAAACTTGGAAATTTTTTTTTAGGGAAGAAAAAGAGTAGTTTTGAAAAAAAACTGTTTTTTAAGTGATTACAGACTGCACAAAAATTAATTAGAAATTTGTCTCAAAAAACGGTATGAATCGGGGTCGAAATCTGGTTCGAGTCATCAACTTTAGTTTTAAATTAATTAAAAGTTGATGAACAGAAGCATAGGACGGAAAAGCCAAATCATACTGGAAACAATTGGATTTTGTTTTCTTTAATGTTCGGAAGGTTTACCAAAAAAAAAAAAAACCTCAAAAATTTTATTTTACATAAGAAATGGTACTTTTATTGAAATCGCTGAAACATGTAAATAGACTGTCCAAAAATCAACTAACTTCTATTCCTTAACATACAGGGTGTTTAAACCGATTTAAATCAAGTTACATTAGTACAATTTTGATTCTTAGCATCCAATTTTTTTCCATTTTAACCAATATTAACATAACTTTTCTAAGAAGTGAATTTGTGCCGAGGTAGGTCTAAATCGGCTTATTTTCATACAACGCGGCTGATTACATTACCCTTGGCCCATTAATTAGAAGCTGGTTGACTTTAGGATTGGAAATTGCGCTTTCCTCAAAAATGATGCATCGTAAAAATCTGAATTCAAAAAGACTTTCGTAAACTGTCACTGCAGATGGTCAGAAACCAACAGTGCTGATCAAAAACTTCCATGTAAAAAATTTCAATACATTACATTGTTTTTTGGAAAAAATGGCTAAAATTTGATTTAAAAAAAATTTTATTTTACGCAGATACAGAAGATTGAGTAGATTCTTGTGCCATAGGAAAAAATCATATTGTTTCAAGTTTGGTCCTTGAATCTTCTTTCCAAAACAGTCTATATATTTTTAGAATTTTCATAATTCTCTAAAATATCCGAAATTCTTCATTTCTAAAAATGTATTTTTTTTATAACTGAAATATGTAACCAAAATATTTCAAATAGTATATCTAAAGAAGCTATTTCTTTATATAATTTCAGCTTGGAAAATTGTAGGTGATTTACAGTCACACTTAAATTCTGACAGTTCATATAAAAGGGTTATTTTTTCACTAATTTCTAAAATTTTTAAATTTTGACTTCCAAATATTTCAAATCAGTTTTAGACTTCAAATGAAATTTCACTGCTTCACAACACTATTTACAATATAATTAGTCTTGAGAAGAATGTTAAAAAATGGGCATAGTCTGCCCATCTGGGGGAGTGTGCAATGCTTCTTTTTTACTAATTTTCTCCCCTTTTTTGGGGGTGTATTGGAGGTGACATTGTAACTTGCAACTACTCCAGGAGAAAGTGTGCAATGCTATTTTATTGATTAGCTTTTGTGTGCTGAGTATGAATCCGTCGCCCTTATTGCGTGAAACTGCCAGGAACATAGTAAAAACCCCTTTATGGGGGTGGTTTTCATTCAGGTAATTTTTCTGCTTAGCTATCAAAGTACAGTGTTTTGAAAGTATAAAGTCGTACAAAAATTAACTGCTCCTAGAACCACTTGTAGTTGCAAGTTACAATGTCAAATCCAATACACCCCCAAAAAAGAGAAGTTTTCACTGTGTTCCCGACATTTTTGGCCAATAAGAATGGCAGATTCGTATTCAGCACAACAAAATTAATAAAAAAGAAACATTGCACACTTTCCCCCGGATGGGCAGAAAATGCCCATTTTTTAACATTGTTCTTTACTAAGCTAACAATGCGCTCGCCAATTCCTGTCACTTACAATTAGAGACCTGACTAATCCAGGCAATGATGCATCAAATGTGAGGCTTTATATTCCCCTCTAATTTAAAATAGCTATCATAATTTTCATTTTTAATAGGTGGATTTGGAAGACTACGTGGCGAGGCCGGACAGAATCTCCGGCGCCGACATCAACGCCATCTGCCAAGAGGCGGGCATGCACGCCGTCAGGGAGAACCGTTACATCGTCCTGCCGAAAGACTTTGAGAAGGGGTACAAGAACAACATTAAGAAAGACGAGAGCGAACATGAATTTTACAAATAAGTTATTTTTAAATTGTAATGTCCTTTTTAATTTTTGTAGCTTAACACTCTATAAATAATAAACTAAACTTACACTAGAATTTTGTTGACGTGCGAAATCAAATGTAGTTTTCAGCATTTATTCGTATTTTTAATTTAAAACAAACCAAAAATAAATAACAGATTAATCATAGATTGCCGATATAAGGAACAAACGAGTTGCGGTTAGTTTAAGGTCATGGCTTACTCGATCGACTAAATAGTAAATTTACGGGCAAAAATGAGGTAACAAAAAATATTTATTGGAACCGGGTTTTAATGACGAAGTTGGTTTGTCGATCGTAAACAGGAAATCTATCAGATATTAATGTTTGGTCTTACAACATACTATTGATTTAGAAGACGGGAATTTTTAGTAAATTCACAATATTTAATGAATTTATTTTAAAATACAGGCTGACTTACACAGAGCCTTCATAAATGATAAGAAGCCACATGACTGTTGAGCTTGGACAGCCACGATTGGTACAACTAAAAATGTTCTGCCTTGTAAATTTGAGATAGGCATGGAAGTAGCCAGGGGGGCAGGAGGGCCATGGCCTCCCCATAATCCTTGCTGCAGGCTGCAAGTTTAAAAAATGACATTATTACAGGCCATTCGTTTTGTATAGTTTTAATTAACATAAAAATTTAAACAAATATAAGTATTAGGGTGGCCCAAACAAAACAAATATATTTTTTTCGTTTCTTGTGAAAATATGTTAGTTTATCACGTTTTAAGGCCATGGAATGCCAAGTGAATCGGCATAATTTATCTAGCAAGATAGGTACCTACATCTGGAAGGCCACCATATTAAACAAATTTTCATTCAAATCCTACATCGCAAAAAAATGTTAGAGGGGTGTCCTGGCTCTTAATGGGTCGCACTATATATAGGGTGTCCGGAAAGGTCATGTCAAAAACGAAGGGGTGTACAGGGAAGCTCAAAATAGTTGGAGTACTTCATAAAAAATTTTCTCCTGTCGGGCTTCGTTGTGGAGTTATTCACCTTCAAAGAAAAAAGTTTAAAAAACAAATTCCAATTATAACTTCTAAGTCGTTACCAGGACAACAATGAAATTTGGGCAATTAAAGTACCGTTCATTTCCAAGTTTCAACTAATATTCAATATGCCTGTAGCAGACAAAATTATCCTTTTAAATTTATACATCTTTAACAGTGTTGCTAAATTTGACATTTTTCTTTCATAATTCGATTCCTCTTTCACTTTGTAAAAAAAAGGTACACCATACATCAGGCGATATCTTGTGCCGTTTTTGAGAAAATCGAATTTTATTAGCAACATACATTTATTGTATCAAAAATGTGATACTAACATTTTTGTAAAAATCTTGGTTTGTATAGAATTAGAAGAAAAAAGAGAACTTTTAAGTAAGTTGTTCAATATGTGCACCATGCTTCAATGCATTTTCTGAAATTGCTCAAATACCTCTTCTGTAATCAAAATAACGTGGTGATCATTTCTAATGATGTCGGCGTATATAATTATGCGATTTAATAATTCTTCCCTAATATTGGTAGGAGTTTGATAAACAAGTCTTTTAAGACGACAAAAATCGAGGGAATTAAGATCAGGACACCGAGGCAGCCACGGAAAAGCACTAACTCGACCGATCCATCGATCGGGAAATGTGGTATTTAAATAAGCCCTTACTGCCCTGCTAAGATGGGGTGATGCACCATCGGGCATAAGCCACATGTTATTTCAAATAATTAAAGGGATATGTCTTCCAATAACAGATTAATATCTGCAAATTCTTCATAGCTAAAATCCTCCATGATATTGAATCAACAAATGGTGTAAAAATGATTTATGACAAATATCTAACTGCTAATTATACATACTTGTTGACAGTCGTCTCAATTTCCAAGATTTTTGCAAAAATGTTAAGTAATGTGGCATTTTTGATACATGTATGTTGGTAGTAAAATTTGATTTTCTCAAAAACGGTCCAAGATATCGATTGATATATGGTATACCTTTTTTTAACAAATCGAGGAATCGAACTATGAAAGAAAAATGCCAAATTTGGCAATGCTGTCAAAGATGTATAAATTTAAATGTATAATTTCATCTGTTCCTGTATAATCCAGGCATATTGATTATCACTTTAAACTTGGAAATGAACATTACCATGTTACTTTAACTGCCCAAATGTCATTGTTGTCATGGTAACAACTTAGAAGTTATAATTGGAAATTGTCTTCAAACTTCTTTCTTTGATGGTGAATAACTCCACAACAAAGCCCAATATATTTTTTTATAAAGTGTTACAACTATTTTGAGCTGCCCTGTATACTCCTTCATTTTTGACATGATCCTTTCTAGACACCCTGTATGTATTATGGCTTTTTAACTTATTAAACCGATTGGTGAAGTTGCGGCTTGCAGAAATTTTTTTTAGAAGCAATCGTACAGAAAGTCACCTTAGGGATTTTTTAATAAAAAAATCTGACTATACTTAGCTTCAATCAGCATCACCTCAGTATATTCCTTAATTATCTTTTATTAAGTTAATGCAAATGTTTTATTTCATCTTTAAAAATCTACAAAGCATTGCAATTGCCTGGTAACAATGAAAATTACTCAGTACTGATACATTTGATTATAATTGTTGATAAACAAAACAAGTTACTTACAAATGTAATAGATGAAACTTAAGACACTGGGATTTTAATTAAGGCTACTTAGCCAGATTATCAAATGAATTTTCATAATTAGTTTAACAATAAGTAGGTACCTACGTCTAGAAAACTATTATTTATAAAAAAATAATTGGAATTGTCTTAAAAATTTAGAGGTGTTCTCCAGAGCAGAGAACAATTTTTTTTCTGATAAAATAGAAAATATAGGTAATAAATGTAATGTAGGTACCTACATATTAATCTAAAGTTTGCAATGTTTATCTGTATTCACAAAATAATTAGTATATTTATCGTCTCGTGGTTCTAATTATTTGATTTTTAAATACTTGTTTCCTGTTTCAACAAAAAGCAATAGTATCAGTTGTCACTTGTCAGTGTCAGTTATCATCATTGAACTCACAGAATATGAACCACACCACAAACATAATGTATTGCATATGAATCCGTAACAGAAAAAACTATTGCAGTTTATTTGTTAATGACCCATATTGAGTGCATGTTTGCAAAAATAGAATTTAAAAAAGGTACAATAAATGTTTCATTTCATTTTACCTGTCCTGTAACTTAAATTTGAACAGATGTTTAGAAAAATTCATAGGTACTTTTTTGTCAAAACCTAAGGATACCTACCCATTGTATTTTTAGGTACTTTTACAACTTACCTACTATTACCCTATAGTTAAGTGTAAAAAGAATAATGGTGACAGACTCGGAAACAGAAACAAGCTTAGCTAAATCACTGTAGACTGTAGGGCTAACAATTATTACAAGCAGATGTCTTGACTGAACTGGAAAATAAACAAAATGATAATGAACTCATTATTTTCTCTAATGCATTATCAATCCAGTCTGTACGAAGCCATAGGTACTAGATAGCCAATACTTGCTGTTTCCTGTTTTTTTAAGTATCTAGGTACTATAATTATTAATCATAAACAATACCTATACAATTTTTGTGACGTAGGTGGAACTTATTATATGTACCTACTTAAAATTAGTGTGAAGTTGAAATAAAATAAAAGCCTACGCTAGTCGTACTAACTAATTAAATTTAGCTCAGCATAAATTTAATGTATTACTTCACTCTGTATATTAAACGATGACCTTTAACAATTTTGTACAAACAAGAACAAGTAGGTATTTATTTGTGTATACAAAATAGATGACTGTCAAATCTGACCCCGCCCACATCTTGCATAATTATGGGAAATGCCGATAGTTTATCAAAAATACTAATAAAACTGAGTTGTACCATATTAGGAGAATCCACAAATTTGAAAATTATCACTAACCAACCCTAAAGAAAAATATATGTCACAAGGGCAAATTCAGTGCAATAATGAATAATAAAAAAACAAATGGGATTCGGCGAATGATATTCATTTGTCAAGCTTCGCCTCAAGTAGTGGGGGTATGGTGGGGAACAGCTGACAATCTAAACATTAGACATCTTGCATTGCATTTTCAAGCGGTTCATCATAAATGATCCGTAGATTTTTTTAGTATGACAGAAACATAATAAGTGTGTTTTTTCTGTGATTCGATAATTCACAAAGGGTTACTTTTTGTTTTATAGTTTCGCTAATTACTGTCGGTTTCAGTGTTATTTTAACTAAGTGTGACGTCATGTGATTGCGTTTTCATGGAGTACTGTGTTAAAAGGTAAATTTTAGGTTTTCTGCTGCTTTTAAATACTAAATTGAGACTTTTTGATTTACTAACACGTAGATTATGTTTATTACAAGGTATTTTAAGTAATGGCATGCATTTTGACCGAAATTTTATGTAAATATTTGCGAATTTTGTTGCCGTATTTTATAGCAGATTTGTCCTTGAACGAATTTGTGTTTAGAATTATTATACATTTTCAATTATCCTCATTAAAGTTAAGCAGGTTTCAATTAGGTAAAGTAATTAAACGTTTTTTTCATCTATTTCGATTAAATTACTCGCGTTAACATCTGCTAAGTTTTCTTGAGAAAGTTGGCAAGTAGGACACTTCATATTTCCCAATCCTTAAAAATATTTGTGTGTATTTTTCTTCGCTTCGTATGACATTGAAAGTGATCAATTATTCAAATTGAGCATTAAATAAGGTTTGTAGTAATGTCGCCGCCATTACAAATTTTCAGTAGTTTTTACGCTTGTCACAATAATAATCAAATTGTTTACATTATATTAATATAAATAACTAGGTAGGCCGTGATTAAAAACAAAAGCTGGTACAATCTTGAAACATAATAAAGAACCTTATGTTTACCGTGTGTTATGGAACAGATAAAAATTATTTTTGAAATATCGTGGTTTGATTAAGCATATTTATACAAGATTAATAAATTTAGGTATTGGTTACTTCTAATAAATTTATAAACTTGAGTTACTTCATTGAGAATGATTCACATTTTATAATAGCAACTATTCTAAAAATAAAATTCCTCATTTAAATATATCTGTGTTTTTTCTCTGTTGCTTTGTTTACACGCTGAGAATGCTTAGGTATTAATTTTCATAATTTCTCACTGAACAATACATCATTGACAAGACCAGTTTAATTTTAATATATTTTTAGTAAAGTACTACCTAGGAACATATTTTATGTTTTTGGCATACCACAAGTTAGATAATCATGGGTGGGGTAGAGCTGTATTTGAAGGGAGATCGCGAGGAAATTTTTGAATGAAATGTGTATTAATACTAAGCATAAACTGTGATAAAAGTGGAAAATACTATTATAATAGATATTTAGTTTTTTCACAAGGCATCATTTGAATGTCAAAACTGGTTCTTGCTGCATTGATGATCCATCATTTTTATGAATGATGTTTATCTAGGTAGTGAAAATAGTTTTAACGCTAACGGACGGAATGTAGGTACACAATTATTTTTAAATTTCTGAAAACAGTGGGAAAACTGAAGATAGTTATATCGTAAAACCTTTCCATTGGGCTGTAAATAAATGACTTTCAAGTGACTTTTCACTGCTTTTAGGACGTTGGCTGGAGTAAATTGTCAACTGGAATTGTTACAATTTTACCTTTCAGGGAAATCATCTCGGAAACTACTGTTTTAATGACACAATTGAAAACGAAATTGTGCAACAGCTGGAATCATTACCCAAATTATCAAAGTCGGAGATAGATATTTTTATTGGCAATTATTAAGCAATTGCATACAGGGCGTACAAAAAAAGTAACACGCATAATACCTACTTACAACAAGGAAGAGAAAAGAATGGAGAATGAAGTATTTTTAATGTAATGTAATTCATTTCAACACTTTGATATTTTAAATAATGTAAATAATAACATTTTTTTAAAGAATATAAAAGATTTAATAGGTTTTGAAAATATTTTAATAAGAAATATGTCAGGGTATTTTGTTTTTCAAAAAGCACTTTTTGTTTATACAGTGGTAAATGGGTGATGACATATTTGACAATTCTCTGAATTCGAATGTTAACCATTTGTTTTTTGCCCTTGGCTTACTAGGTATAGAGTTAAGATGAAATGGTAAGGTGCTTCTGCTTTTAGTTTTTCAATATTTCAAATATTTAAAAAGGTATAGTTATGGTCAGTGTATTTATATAACTTTTTTTATTTGATCTGGAGTATTTTTATAGAACAGTAAAAAAATTTTAAATACCTATAGGTACATTAGTTTTACCTGCAACTAGATCTGTATACCTATAAACATTAGGTAATATTTAACGAGTGATACAAAAAATATTAATTTTTTAAAATAATTAATAAATAATAAATAATTAAATAAATTAAATAAATAATTTAAAAAAATATGGAAAAATGCCAGTCATACAAAAGCAATTTATTTTACAAAATTATTTTACTTGACTTGATACAGTTGGTTTAAAAAGTAATAAAGGGCAATAGTAATAAGCGCACACATACAACCAAGTTACGGAGCTGTCTAATGATGGCGTAGACAAGAATTTGAGTGCAGTCTAAAAAACAATTTGTAACTTTTGACTATTTATTTGATTAAAAAAAAATAATTTCAGATTAGTATTCTGGGAAACACATACTGTTATCCCTAGCAAAGTTATCTCAGTTAAATTTACACCCTGTCCCTGTGTAGTAAATGTAAAAAATACTAAGGTTAATAGTTAATACTGAACCAATGTATTTGTAATTATCACATTAAAAACTGTTAAACTGGAAACTTGAAGTAGATCATTTATTTACAAGAGACATACCACACAAAACAAATAGCTGGCATGTCACTTTTCCATTTGAGCCAAGATCATTTATAAAATTTTTTCCATAAGAGTAGTGAACCCATTCCTGTCACTCCCAAAATAGAACTGATATAAGTGCGTTTACCTAAAGAGAACTAATTATTAAACTACTAATTTAGTCATATTATCAACACTTTTATCACCAGGTTGACCAATGTTTACAGAGCCTACATATTTGTTATTCTTTGTTTCAGGATTCCACGTATGTCCTACAATTTACCGTTTTAAGCAATAACATGAGTTTCCTATCAGTTCAAAACACATACCTAAAATCCCACAACAATAACCCCTTCCTCCTATCAGAAACACCTTCGAGGAACACGTTTCTTAACGATAGCAGGCAGACAGCCATCACAGAAAACAACAACCAGATAAGCGCCAATGGGCAGGAGAAGTCTCTGCAAGAGGTCTGGTCCAAGCATAAATTTGAGATGGACAAAGTGAAAGTTGAGCCTATGGTGAATTTTAACAACGTTAAGATGACCTGGGCCGAAGAAAAACCTTTGGAGGAAATCCACGAGGATGTGGAAAGCAAACCGAGTGGGATTGTGGAGCAAATGCCGAAAAACGAACAGGTTGAAGTGCAGTTGGACAAGGAAGAGTCTCCTTCGCATCATGCTAGAAGGCCTCCAAACGCTTTCCTGATATTCTGTAAGAAGCATCGGCCCATTGTTAGGGAGAGGTACCCCAATTTGGAGAATAGAGGTGTTACCAAAATACTTGGAGAATGGTGGGCTTTGCTGCACAACGACGAAAAGTTACCTTATAACGACTTAGCTAAAGAGGTAAAGTGATGAATCAATATATAAACTTTTCATTTTTTTTCCAACATTAAATCAGTGGCAGTTGGTGAATCTGAAAGTGGTTATATCTTAACAATAAAGTATGAGATCTAAACTGTTTTTTAAGGCAGGATTTCTATGCTTCAATAGAGTACTTTCAACCAAAATTTACAAAAGAAAAAAATTAAAATAGTGGTAGCTTATCATAGAATCTCAAAAATGGTTACATAAATAGTACATGCAAAATGTATATTTTTTTCATAATCAACAGATGTTTTCCATTTTTTTACACTTTCTTCATGTAGCAAATAAAAGTAAATAGGTGTGTGTATATTAGGGTGTCCCAAAAAAACCGAATATTTTTTTTCGTGTCTCTTTTTAAAATATGTTAGTTTATCATGTTTTAAGAGCCCCCTCAATAATTCAGCTCAAAAAAAATTTTTAGAGGTCGCTCAAGATTTTTAAAAATTTCCAAAATCGTTAAAAATTGAATTTTTTTTTAAATTTTTTTTCTCGTTATTTTATCATTTTCTAGGTTGAAAAAAATCTCGATTCTGAAAATTTCAAATCGATATTTTAATTTCTAAAGGACACTCATAATTATTTTAACTTTCAAAATAGAATCTATACCGATGTTTTCGAGTGACCTCTAAAATTAAATATCAACGAACTAATAATTTTATTTATTGAATTTGATGAACAAAAGAATAGAAATAAATCACAAGACACTTAAATTTTAAAAATTTAAAAATTATAAATATTTGATACAGTGTGATAGTAAATTTTATTTCGAGAAATTTTCTCTATTCAATAAAAAAAAATTATTAGTTCCTTCATATTTATTTTTAGAGGTCGTTCGAAAACATTTTGGGTTTTAAAGATAAAATAACTATGAGTGACCTTTAGAAATTAAAATATCAATTTGAAATTTTCAGAATTGAGATTTTTTCAATCTAGAAAATGATGAAATAACGAGAAAAAAAATTTAAAAAAAATTCAATTTTTGACGATTTTGGAAATTTTTAAAAATCTTGAGCGACCTCTAAAATATTTTTTTTGAACTGATTTATTGAGGGGGCTCTTAAAACATGATAAACTAACATATTTTCACAAGAGACACGAAAAAAAACATTCGTTTTTTTTGGGCCACCCTAGTTGTCCCTATTATCACGTAGAGGCGTATGTGTATATCCATTTCTTGGATTATACGCCTCTATGTGATAAGAGGGACGTAGTGTATATACAGGGTATTAATATCAGCCACCCTTTATTGGTAATTCTACAATACAAATTAATACAAAAATTAGTTTGTATAAACACTTTAATTCCAGGTTTCATTAAGTTATATCAAACATCATAAAAAATATTTAGATAAATATGATATTTTTACCAAGCAGGTGTTTATAGGAACTTTTTTTATTGATTTTTCACTTAAAATCCACCCTTAAAGTTTGGCATGAGTGGGTAATTAACATCCAGTACATGTTCAATTCCTTTCGAGATCTCGAAATTTCATTTGGAATTTTTTTATCAAAAAAGTTCTTTATCAAAATATGACCATTTTAAATGTCACTAATTCTACTACAATAAATATTTTGAAATTCTTACGTAGTGCAACCAATAAAGAATGCAGAAATTTTACTGAAAACTTACATTTCAAGTTGTTTACCTGCCTTGAAACAAGTCTTTGTGACAATAACACTTAATAATTTAAAAAATATATAAAAAGTGAAATAGATATGTGTTAAATTAAAATACAACAAACACGCAGCAAACCTATTCATAAGTTTTTTGCAGTTCAATTTCAGTTTGATCTGTGATACATTGTTTAATATTATAATGTTGACTTCAACATGATGTAACTTTAAAAAAATAGAAGTTTAGTGAAAAGGAAACAATTTTTTGTATTTATCAGTAGATTATGAAAAAAAATATATTTTGTACATAATCTGCAACCCTTTTTGAGATCTCAGGGGAAACTACACCTATTTTAATTTTTTATTTTGCAAATTTTGTTTGAAATCAAGAAAGTTTTCTACGTAATAGAGCATAGAAGATTTCTATTGTTTCTAAAAACTGATACGCTTCCTTAATGAAATCTGACTACTTTAATTTGCACCAATCATTATTAAATAGAAAAAATCAATCAAATAGAAAAAACTTTCGTAAGATTTCATAATTATATTCAAGTGAAAAAAATTCTGTAAAAATTTAACCGAGTGTCAAAAAGCCTTTATTAGCAATGAAAAAAAAAAAATACAATTTACCATAGAGTAACGTTTTAATAATATTTAGGTTTAAAACTCAGATCTCTTTCCGTTATTTGAGTAATAATTGAGTATTTAATTATGAAAGTGAGTATTTTAATGTACAAAACTTAATCAGCGGTTTCCCCCCAGTAATTTACATTCTAAGACTTCCAATAAAAATTTTCAACTACGACACATATTCTTGACATGTATTTTTTCCTAAGAGCAGAAAATTTGATCAAAAGTACAACAGCTTTTTTATTTTTATGATTTGACCAACTGGCTGGAATGCGTCTGATAGACAACCATTAAATTATTCCTACAAAGTAAACTATTTAATATTTATGCATCACTATAACTATCGCACTTTCACTGCTAATATGCCTGAAATTGATGAAACTTTTTATATGTATTTTGTTACCCAATGGAATCTGTTTGGAAAATGCTCAGGCTGAGATTGAATAAAGTTGTATAATGGAGCATGTATGACTTGCATTTATCGAAGTGTGTTTTCCTTTCATTCAGGCATCTAAAAATATTTAAACGTGGGAGGGCAATATTTGATAAGATATGAATTATCGTATCCTTTTATGACTTCTAGAATTTATCAGACATTTTAAAGAACTTAGAAAGTAGTTCCTGCAATTAATTTTGATTAAAATGTATAAAGAACATCTCTGCACCATTAACAAGCTGCATATAAGTAAATGTATTACTTTTTTTTGTCTAAATGAATTACTGACTTCCCTCATCAATACAAATAGATATTAATAATATCCGAACAATTAGAAATTAAAGTGATAAAAATATAGTTGACTTAATAAAAAGAAATTGAAATATTCTTAAATCTGCTATGTATTTCACTCATTCATCAAAAGAAAATAGCAGAATATGCATAACGTCAAATAATGCTCTGTACAACTGATGATAAATTCTTAAATGTCTCATATATTTGCATAATTAATAACATTGTTGACCTTGTTCGGCTTTTTTCGTACAATATAGCAACAAAAATATTAAATCCATTATCAACTTGCCGTAAATGAATTACACAGAAAATTTCCTAGTGCGACCCAATTATGTACTGAAGATAAAAAGTTTTCAGAGTAGATTTGCACGTATTACAGCTCAGACGTCTCTATTAATCTTAGACTTACAGGTTGAACGTTCATCTTACTTACTCAAGGTCGTGCATTAAATAATCGAGCACCACACATTTCTAGTCCATCCTACAGGGAGTGCCACTTTCCTTCGAGTAGTTGAATTATGAGATAAAAAAAGGTTCAAATGTTATCTTCTTCAGCGAAAGAGACGCGATTAAATGAAATGTAAATGAAAGCACATATTTAGAGAAATGAACAAGAAAGTTCTAAAATCCATATAATGATCATTCTTTCAGATGACCTAGAAATTGCTACATGGTTCTATTAATAACGGGAAATTTACTAATTCAAAGTATTTACTAAAAAAATGTATGTTCAAATATGAAGACGTTTGATGGGATCTGCTTGAAAATATACAGTATGTTTTTAAAGCAATTAATATACTAGCTGTGAACCCATATTAAAACAATAATAACAGTATTATATTGGTATGTATGTTACAATTAACATAAGCAGATTAGTCATTTAACTTAAACAAGTTGCTTTAACGAAACACAATTTATTACAAAGTATTGAACAACATGAATAATTTATTTTAATAAACATACACTTGAAAAAATATTAGAGCTTGGCAAACAAATATGTAGTTAAGTGAAACTTTGCAAGTATTTTACATCAATAAAATAGAATTCTTAATCAAATAGATTGATTAAATTTCCAAAATACTCTGTGCCAGATCTTCATGATATCTCCAAGTATTTCTGATATAATTGTATACAAATTCAGTAAATTTTGAAGTTTTACTAATCTACGTCAAATATCTTTCAAGATATTTGTCTTAAGGATATATGATTTTGAAAAACTGTAAGTTTAAAAAAGAAATTGTTTCCTTAAAGTGATCAACCTCATAATCGGTAAAGTATATACTTAGGAACCGTCCTGTATATTAAAACAAGCATTTTGCATTTTCAGTATAAAGATGCCTTTCTTTCCGCAAACCCCAACTTCAGATGGTATAAACTACCGGCACCGCCACTACGTACCTTAATTCCCCGACCAACGACAGCCACAAAAGTAGCACCACCCTTATCTAGTCCCTCCAACAACCACCTATCTGAATTCACGCCGGGAAAGCTGGCTGACGAGTCTCAGCTCGGCGGGCTGACTTCTCTTATGAACAATAATTTTAACACTATACCAAAGACGGAATGTTGTACAACAGAGTCCACCTTGGACAACAATAACCACAAAATGAATGACAGCTTAGACACCAGCTACCATAAGACAGATGAAGCCACTGACATGTACAAAACAAGCGACAATTTGGATAGGTACCACAGCACCTTTGTAACGCCTGTCAGTAACATACAGTCAAATACTCCTCCCAAGCCGATAAAGAAAAGGTTCTTCGATTACTATTCGCAGAATAAGGGTTGCTCGAGGAATATTTTACCTGAGACTAGGGAAGAGGCTGATGATGTCTTAGGAGACCAAAGTGAACCCAGTAACATGACAAAGCAGGACTTGGTGAATAAGGTGAGTTGACATTGTGACGTTTTTTATTTGATTGAATATTTTTGTGCACTGAAAAGAAATAGAAGTTAAAAGTAAACGTGCTTAAATAAATAACTTGCGTCAAGTCTAAACTGTTAAGTTGTGATGTGTTTGGGTCTCCGCAGGCATAAACACAAAATTTAAAATGTTCAACTTAAGTTTTATCACTACAAAATAGTCCTTGAAAGATCAGAGCCAAGGCCTAACGGCAAAATAACTCATCGTGATCCGATTGACTCAAAAAAACACCTTTAAGTGCAAAATTCAGCTGGTTCTTAGATTTTCGATGATGGGCGGTTCTGTTGACTCATTTCTATTTTACAGCGAAAATTTTCCGTTCTTAGTGGGGCTGCAAAAAAAACGAAAATTTATCTAGGAAAATGCTGAAAAGCCCCTTCGTAAGTACCCACATCGTAAAAAGGAAGTGGCTCGTGGAAAAAGTCTTTAACAATGTAAAATGTCTCTTTTTTGAGACACAGTGTGGGAGCAAGAGTAACCTGCAGCTTTTAATATATAGGGATTTAATCATTTTTCATATTAAATTTTTGTTATTATTTCAGGTCGTTGATGGAATGTTTGCCAAACAATGTGAACAATCTGATGACCTTCTGGACAAGAATGGCTTGAAGGAGGTGAGAAAATCCGAGAGGATGTGTAAGGGCAAAAGGTACGAAATATTCATGGTGGAGGGAAGGCTGTTGGGCAACAAGCGCGACAACAAACTGATGCAGCAGAAGCAGATCAAAATCGAGAGCAAAATCGAAACCGAATTGAACTCTCTCAATAACAATATTAAACCGGAAACACCAAAGTTAGACTTAGGTAATACTATTAAGCGCCTAGCGGAACGTACTAACGTAAAACTAGATTTCGAGAATCAAACTGACGATAACGATGACACAACAAATCAAAGAGCACGTAGCATATCGGAAACCTCAGAGGGCAGCAATAAGAGCTCCCCACCTAATTTTAACTTAGACTTAAGGATTTCAAATCTTCCATGCCTGAGTTACGACGAGTTCCTCCAGAGGAAACGCGAAAGCAAAAAACGTAAGATACGCATTAAGACTGACGGGGATTCCAAACACAAGGTGCAGAAATTGGATAACCGAACCGAGACTCAGCCGGTCGGGTCCAAAAAGAGAAAGAACAAGCAGAGCATCACTCACCTGGGTAAAAAAGAGAACGAGGTGGGCTTAAGTAGTGACCTTTTGGGTTTGGCGACTCTCGCCGAGGTCGCCGCCAATACCGAAAAGATCAACGAACAAATCTCAGAGTAATAGTATTACACGTATTTTTAAGGTGTTTGTTAACTTAATATCATGATTATAGTTGATAGAGTACGTCTCTTCACTTTAACAAAACTGATATTCTAAAGTAAACTTCTGGACAAAATTATCGCACCTCTAAAAATTGGCTCCAGTGTTAAATTGGCTCTTTAATTCATCTGTGTATCTTCCTTAGTAACAGAGATGGGAGATCGCCCCAAAATGAGTATTTTAGTGACACGATCTCCGGTTCCTAAAATTACATCCAGTCACTTGATCTGAAACAACAAAAAACATTCACAAAATGGTGGCTGATTGAACTTTACATTAATTTTTAAACCTTAATTTCGAAAATATTGTGTCAAATTTTGGAAGCAATTAATCGAGACGTTTTTCGAATATTTTGGTTACTGTCTAACTGTCTGATTAGTATGTTTCGAGTATGTTTTGAAATTTGTCGAAGAATTAACACGTTTGGGAACCTGGTCGTTTGTCAACTTCATGATAAATCACCCATAACTTTTACAGTTCAGGAATATCAAGATAACATTTACACCATACTCTTCATATTCCATACTTTAAAATTTTTGTTTGGAAAAATTGATTTTTGTAAAAAATTTAACAGTTGCATTTGCCTTGAAAATCATCATTAGTTTTTTTTCTTATCTTTAATAATTTCTGAGATTCCATTGAATTTGATTCATTCTCAATGCTGTGATATAATCAGTTTAGTGTACAAATATTTACAAAAATTATATTTCAAAAATTAGGCACGTGCAATTAGTTATCAAAAAATTGAATAACTACGATGTTGGGGCTGATTTTTAGTGGTTCGGCAATTTTAAGAGTTCATAAATTTTAAAAGGAAACAATTTTTTTTGGGTATTGCTTGCTCTTCTGTCTTCCAGACATACTGTTTACTCCTGTATAGACGATCCTGCGACAGATGGCATGAAAAGTTTTCTTTCTTTGTTGACCATTGATATAGACACTTACTGAAGTGAGCATATACCAGTGGTTACTCCAGTAAACACAGATCAGTGGTTGCGTCCAACTTTATTGGAGCATTGCACATGCTCTTTTCTCAAGTTTAAAAAGAAGATTGAAATTAACTTTTGCTACTAATTCCAAGTGAGGATTGTTTTTACTGCACCAGTTATAGAAATATATTGAGATTCGAAAAATCACTAAAATATAAGCGAATAAGATTTCCATTTTTAACTTCCCGTTTAATAAATGCATGTAATAGATTTCCCTTTGACAGTTTGTCTAAGAATTCGTTTCTAAGTAAGATTTCTCCTCTAAGGATACGGTTTACCAAAAATTACACAAGGTTCATCCAATTTCTGCTGCTGATACAAGCAATAACAAAATCTATACCTCAATAGTACATAAAACTGTTTAGTCGTAATTATTAATCCATGTTTTTGTCCTGCTGCTCTCGCTTATTTGAAAAATTTATCAGGATTATACAAGGTGTTTCCTGAAGACATGCCAGAATCTTATTTGTAATATAATTGCAGTACGATGGCAAATTACCCAAATTATTTTTTATTAATTAATAATTAAATAATATTATTAAATACAATACCAAATTTTCCTTGAAACTCTTTTTTCATGAGTTTTTTAGGAAATTATATACACTTTGTTGGTACCATATTTTTAGCAGGTAATCAGAAAATACCTTGTGTTGCGTTATGTTACCAGAATAATTTGGTACTCGTTTTTGTTCTAATAAGATCGTTTGTTGTTACTGCTGAATGATTTTATAGTAGGGATGTGAAATTTTAGGATCAGAAATACAAGCTCTGTATCAGGGAATTTTGAAAAAAAATCGAGTATTGCCGAACGTAGCGTCTAACGCTTTGTTTGAAATCTTTGGATTTTGCATCACTATGTCATATCAGAATTTTTAAACATCAATCAAGAATGTAATTAAATATTTTTATGATGGTTAATATTTCTTTTGTTGTAATTTATAGTAGATTAGAGGTAATTGTTTTTTTTTTTGTATTTTATGTCGTTACGTTTTTGTTATGTTAACCTTCTAATCATAAGTATACCAAATCATATTAATATTTATATATAGTCATATTTTTATATATTTAATATTTTAAGGGTTTGTTTTTCCTGTTATATGCAATAATTTTTAGCGTAATGAGATTTGAAATTATTTGTCGATCTGATACCGATCTAGTTATCAGGATAACGGTTATTATGGAAATTTGTTTAATTTCACTCTTTTTGCAAGTATGAACTGTGGTGAAGAAATTTACACATGCGGAATTGAATTCCGATAGTGAAAATCCAATTTTATTTTACCATTTACATTGTTTAGCATAAAAATGTATCATGTTTATAATCTCGGTTGTTTTAAAACACTATCGTTTGTAATTGCCGACAGAAAGACAATTGCTTATTGCAGGTTTTACGGACACATCACAGGTTGTACGTAAGTTTATGGTCTCCAGTGAAATTGGTTAAAAGTTATACATTTTACTTCCATTTCTGTAGTAAAAGTAAAGGAAGATTTTTGTGTTATATCCGCAGAAATATTTCGATATTGTAAGATATATGAATGATCGCAATTACTGTTGTAAATGTGCACTTGAGGATATTCATGAATGTTTGTGCATGAAGAAAACTGCGTAAATAGTCTCGTTGATAATTTAAAAGAAAAACTTTTTCTGAATTTCCAAAATTTTTCGTTACCCAAGCGATATGCCTTACTTTAATAACTACTTTTTAGGTATTGCTTTTATAAACATTGAAAAATAATAAGCACCTCGAATTTTTGAAATAAATGGGTAATATGCAACATTTTCATGAGAACATTCGAGAATAATGAAAACTTTTATCGTGTTTTTTATAATTTTGCAACAATTATATCATGTAAGTACATTTTGCAGGTGCTTCACATTTATTTTAGTTGGACGCAACTTTTTGTTTTGGCAAGCTGAATTTATCACTAGATGCTAAATATTATGTACAATAACATATTAGTTTCCACAGTCATAAAAATGGGGGGAAGATTGTTTACAGGGTGGTTAATTGTATAATTCACGTTTTTCGCTTATAACTTTTTTCCGTTCATTTCCACGAGAAAACGGTAAAGTACTTTTTTTTCGTCTTCAAAAGACCTAAAAAACTAGCCCTCGAGCGTCAAAAAATATTGATTAGATCAAAAGTTATAAATGGAAGAAGTTTATTTATGAGTTTTGAATTAAACAAGTATAAATTGCGTTATTATTACCAGAACGTTTTGGCATCGCATCCTCTCATTCCTTATCACTGTCTAATAACTCACAACTTGAATAGTTTACAAGTTATGGCCTTATAACGCACTGATTTTTTTCATGGTAGATTTCAGAATAATACATTGAAATCTATCATTTTTTTTAGATTTCAAATTTGCAACCTGGTATTTTTTTTATTTTTTAGCCTTAGTTGCAAAATGAAATATATGACGCACACGCGTGATATAGTTATATATTATTTTATTACATATTCGGAAAGCTTATGAAAAGAGCTTTAAGTTAAAAAAAATCATCAAGATTTGTTGAAAAATAACGGAGTTACAGACTGGCTAAAAAATTTCCAGGTTGCAAATTTGAAATTTAGAAAAACAAATGATAGATTTCAATGTATTATTATGAAATCTACCATGAAAAAAATCAGTGCGATTGTGGAAGATGCTCGGGATCGCCCAGACTAATAACTGGTTAATTTGTTTCTAAGGCCATAACTTGTAAACTATTCTACTTACCGATTTCAGATTTCGTATGAGTTAAGTATTAGACAGAGGCAAAGATTGAGAGGATGCGGTGCCAAAACGTTCTGGTAATAATAACGCAGTTTATAAATGTTTAATTCAAAAGTCATAAATAAACTTCTTCTGTTTATAACTTTTGATCTAATCAATATTTTTTGACGCTCGAGGGCTAATTTTATACCTAGGTCCTTTGAAGACGAAAAAAGAGTATTTTACCGTTTTCTCTTGGAAATGAACGGAAAAAAGTTATAAGCGAAAAACGTGAATTTACGTAAAAATTATACAATTAATCACCCTCTAAATAATTTTCCCCCCATTTTTATGACTGTGAAAACTAATATGTTATTTGTACATAATATTTAGCATCTATAGTGATAAATTCAGCTTGCTGAAACAAAAAGTCATGAAATGGTCATTACTCAGCTCTTTTTCCTGGACTATTCAGAGTTCAGTCTGGAAATGTCAGGGAATTGCATTAATTTCCAAAAGATTTTTGAAATTATAATTGTGATTGGTCTTTATTTACGAGGTACTGCGCTGAATGTCATATTTTTTTTAATTATAATTCTAAAATATTTATTTTGTCGGAATTCTAAATAAACTTGATTTTTAATCGCGAAAATTATAAATAATTCTTAGATTTTTCAAAGAACATCAGAATTTTTGCGAAATTCTAATAATAATAATAATAATAATTTCTGTAAGTTGTTTTTTACTTTTACAAAATGTAGAGATGCATGTAAAATGTTCGTTAATCGTTCATGAATATTTTCAATGGAACATTTGTAGGACTTTTAAAGCATCGGAATTTCCTCTGAAGTATTATCTTTCCTTACCGTTTGTTGTTTTGAGGCATTTTAACCAGTTTTGCGGAGAATATTGTTGATTAATTGTTTAAAGGTTATTTTAATATATCTCTTACTTTTATCCTACCCTATCTGTCTTAAGATAATGTATTGTTAAATTAAGGCTGAATTTTTAATATCAATTATGAAATGTAAGATTAAAACTGTACCTAATTGTTCACCAAATTCCTTTTATTTTTGCTATTAAAAATAGGCCTTAGAAAAAGCGACCAAATATATATATATATATGATATATAAATATATTTTATAACAAGATACGCCTTATAGTTGTAGATATATGATATATATAACTAATAATGAAAGTTATCCAGTTATGTTGTGTAACAAATTTTATAAATATTTTATTCTAATGTTGTAACTAGGTAGTGACTTGTGATTGACCAATATTATGACAAGTTTTAGTCGTTCGTTGAAGAGTTTCTACATGGAATTGTAATGGTAAAAGAAAGTGATGATTGGATTGTGATACTTTATTTTTGTATTTTAAAATGGACAGGGATAAGAATTTTATTTATAAAGTTTGTATAGATTGTGCCTTTTATTTATTTTAATTAAAATTATGCCTATAGAAAGGTTAAATATGTATCGATTTTAATAAAAGTTTATTGAATAACATGTGTAATTGATATATCACAAAACGCTATCAATTTTAAATGTGTATTACTTTTTTAATTAAATAACAATAAAAGTATTACAAAACTAGGCAAACAAAATATTGAAATAACATTTTATAAACATACTCGCAGATGGACTTCGGGGTAACTTTGGCTAAAAGCAAAATACATCAAAACAGTCTTGGAATACATAATTTCGAAACGCTTCAAAATGGCTTAACAATTCCTCTAATCAACTTTTGAATTGCTAGAAAGCACCAGAATAACTATAAAATATATAGAAAACAATAGAAAATTTTAAAGTTCATCACGAAGACATTAGCATTAGAATATAAAAATGCAAATCAGTTAAAGTTTAACGAACAACTTGAAAATATTTAAAAAAGTGGGAAATACATCAAAATAGTAGAAATGGCATCAGAATACGTTCAAATCCAAAAATAGTCTAAAATGGAAAAAATATTTCAAAAACTACAGAATGCATCGGACCCTTTCAAAAACGGAAATATTTCAAATAGAAAATGTTTAAATATGTATGTATGTACCTTGAAAGGTCAGAATCAATAATCAAATATCAAAGATAAATGACGGGGAGCAAAAGCTTTAGTCGCTCGGGACTTCACTTCCAGGGTTATTAACCTTTGGCCATTGGGGTCACTTATTTTTTGCTATACCAAGAACCTTGACCTTTGGCGTTTGGGGTCATTAATTAACCTTTTAACCTTTGGAAGTACTTAGATAAGTTTCTGTTTTCAAGGTATTTCCAGGTATTGTAAAACTTTGGAGGTATTTTGATATATTTAGTTATTTTTGAGATATTCCGAGGTTTCTGAAGTTTTATTAGTGCTATTTTGATGCATTTGTTTAATTATAATGTAAATAATCTCGAATAAAGTAGTGGGTTTACTATATAGGTTCATACTTTCATGTTACAATTTCTTTGGAACTTATGCAACTAACTATACAAGCCTTTGAAAATATGTGTTGCCTGGTTTTTTGTTAAAACTGCAATACTACTACTATTTTTTTATTGACAATCGAAACTATTTTGACAATTTTGACAGGTCATTGTGCGAGAAGCAGAAACATAACCATAGTTAATTAAAATGAACGTTTAAAAGTAGAAATACTTAGTCAAACTGAACTTAAGAAATGTCTAAGGAAGCCCGTTATGGTTTATTATACAGTGAATACGAGTTTTCTCCTTACTTCCGAATTCCTTTTGAAAAGTTTGCACTGATTACTGTATGCTTCCCTTTGTTAGCATTTGTATTTTGTATTGGTTACTCCGTCCTTTTTAATTTCGAGAGTGCTACATACACGCATTGTCAAGTGTATAATATGTTACCCTCCATATCTGCAGCTATTGGAAATTTTTCTCCACAAAGAGAAATTTGGCAAGGTGCCATAGCAATACACGCTGCCCCAAGGTTTTACATAGCAGTCGAGTATTTACACCACCATTTTAGTGTTCTGTTTCCTCAGGATATATGGATTGGACAGATAGCTTTCTTTTTAAACGTCGTGGAAAACATAGCACTGATAACATTATCGTTTTTCACTTCGTCAAAGTTCTATGGTATACTAACTGTTCTGAGGTGATAGTGATAATAAAATAGTTTTTATTTTAGCTGTGCACGAGAAGGCGTTCATTACTTTTATCCTGGGATCGGAAATGTACATGGTTTTAACATGTATTCTGCAGAGTAGGTACAAAAAACAGTCTCGAGTTAGTTTGAAGTGGAAAAAACGTTTCTTAGCTACTAATATAATGTGCATTGTTGCTGCTGTGTATTTTTTCATGAGGCACAATTCGCTGTGTGAACCTTATGGTGAGTAGTTTGCGCTAACAAGTAATTATATAAATTAATGTATTTTTATTTTAGTGTACACACTGTTTGCTTTATCGGAGTATATAGTTGTACTCTCCAACATGGCGTTTCATCTGACTGCCTATTTTGATTTTGAAAACAAAGATTTAGTAGTTTATAAACATGGTGTCGCTCTAACAGAGAGATAATATTTGGTTATATAGCTAGTCATTTAATTTATCGTATTACAGGAGTAAATGGTAAGTTTTATAAAAACATGTAATTTGTTTTGGATTCAAACAATTTAGTTGAGTGATTTTTATTTTTCTTACACAGGTATTCCGTTTATTGATAAAGGCAGTTTATTATTTATTATTAAGAATTTATTTCAGATCGCCATAACAGATGTTTTTAAAATGACAATCTTTTATATCAAGTAATACTGAGATGGAAATTTCATAAAATAAAAGTTTTTCTTTTCTTATCTGTGAAAAAATAATTGAAATAAACCCTTGTGTCAAAAAGATCAATTTTTGTGAAGACACTTTTGCCTTGCTAAAAATAATTAAAAAGGAAAAGTTATAATTTCGGAAAACAGATTTTCGAAATATTAACAACTTTTTATAGTGCGGGATCTCTAGGGATGTTTATTGTGTTTGTTTGCTTTTTTTGTGTCAAATTTTTAGTGAAGCAAAACTATTTTCACAAAAATGTCTGACTGATCCTTTTAGCGGAAGGCTTTATTTCATTACGTATTTTTTTAATTTTTTCACATGTGTACTGTACTACCCAATAAATAAGGAAAAAATAAAAGTGTTGCATAAAAAATTGGAAATGGATGTGACAATTTACTTTTTTGCATAATAACAATAAATAATAAGCTGCTTTTCTATACAAACATTTGTGATTTATTTACTCTAAAACGACCTGAACAGGGTGAATTTTTTTATATCGATATTTACATTTTTATATGAAGTTTTATCTTTTTTTTTAAACTTATGGGGCATTATGGTTAGTTTTTATGAATAGATGTATCACACTTTTTATAAACTTGCCATAAAATGTATGAGTGTTTCAAAACTGGAAGTCATTACTATAAATAGTTATCGGAAACATCAACTTCTTATCTTAGTCTGGATTAATAAATGATTTGATATACATTATGGAATGACAAATGCTGGCATTTGAATTTCAAGGAAAAATGTAGTTTTTTAACTGATTGAATTTTGAAAATGTGATATTTAAGCATTAAATTTATTATTTTTATGTTCTGCATCTGGTTTATGAAAAATCAAAAGAAACAGTTTTGAAACATTTTATTTTAGATAGGGACGAACCAAGTATTTTGAAAATTGTGATTTTATATATTTTTTTAACGCTACTGAATGACCATTAAGCAGTAGGATAGTTACTCTTTTAAATATTGTACATATGTAAAAAAACTTTTAACTTATTTTTATTTTATGTGTATTATATAAATACTTCTATAAAATTATGAGTAATTCATCAACATTAAAATTTTACAATTTTTTTGGTCACATTTGGTATTATTTCCACATATCTTAAAATCAAAATTTGTTAAAAGGAAATTTAAAATATTTATGATAAAAAATGTCATAATTTTATACCAGGTGTATTCTGTTCATACTTTTCATATAATAAAATTATCATGAGTACCTGTATTGTCCTCTGTTTTATTTAAATTGATATTTTTGCTTTAATTAAGGAAGCAAAAATGACATTTTATACAAACCAGGAGAGAATATTTGTCATAATATATCGCACTATTTTATATATCTAATATAAATGCACCTTTTTTCTGTGCCAAAGTGTAATATTCATATAACAATATAATATTATCTGCACTTATGGAGACCCAGCAGGCATTTTGACAAATTAATTTTAGATATTTCGAAAATGAATATCCAAATAGCGAAGCCAGATGGTTATATAAAAATAATGTGCAAACATTAATTATCATATTTTTACCACAGATATTTCTATTTACTAAACATTTAAATGGCAATGTATCGTAAATAAAAATAGGGTATACCCAGAGTCATTAGAGAAAAGTATTTATGGAAGAAGCAAGTCTCCAAACATGCAATAATGAGATAATAAAGTGTACTTATAATAGTGTAGAATTTGTATACTATCTTCAGTTATAGTTATTTTTAATCAATTGTTTGAAATTATTCAAATTGTCAAACTGCCTTCTGTGGCTATTCCATGAAGTACCACTCGTTTAAAACCGAAAGCTGTTTTAACGTGGGTGAAAATAAATTGTATATATTTGTTAAATATTTTTCTATGTATAAGGATATAAACATGTACGTTTGTACGCTTTTCCACAGTATATCTTCAGTGTTTTCACTGTAATCTAACATATCATATTTTCCCACATTTTCAATTAAATATAATTTATGTTGAAAGATAAATGGTTTATAATTTTCCCAACGAACCTTATTTGATTTTAACTTTTGTAAATAATAAATAAGTCAAGTTCTTTAATATCTCTTGATGTTAGAATCAAACAAATGTAAATTGTTTCTGAAGATATGGAATAATCAGTGTTCCTAGAGTCAATTTGTTATTCTATTGCTTTCAATTTCAAAACAAAGAAATAGGAAAAATTCACGGCGGGTATTTTATTCATATATTTAAAATAGTAGGTATAAGAAATACGATTTTACAGTAATGATAACTGCTACTTCTTGGTGGAGAGACTATTGATAAATTCGTAATTATTCTAGCAGGTGGCGCCACGGTACAGTAGACTACAAACAAATTTACAGGATGTCCCGTATGAAAACTCCCGATCTGGTTATCTAAAAAACGAATAAAAATATCTAATTTCTGGAAAAAGTACTCTACTGTGTAGTCTAATAGTCTATAGTATAACACGCCCGATTTTCTCGAAAATTTCCGATTTTTGGCTATTTTTTTCAAGTTCTCGTTAACCCCCTGACAGGACGCTAAGTGTCCCAATATTGGAAGATTATTGCATTATCCGCGAAATTGTTACCGCCACCATTTTGAAGAAAACCTTTTTAATTATTTAAATAGTCTTAAATATCAGTTTAAATTGATTGAATACTATGCACAATGAGTGTCCGATTTTTTTTCTAGAAATCCCACTTTTTTTTGAAAAAACGTCCCTAAAAGTCATAAAAAGAGCTGTCAGAACTGAGCCGGGGGACATAGGCGTATGCATTATTTATTAAAAAGCAACAAATTAAATTGTCTACAATACACCACCATAACACCAACAGATAGGAATTATTTACGCAACATCCGCACGATAACAAAGCAACAGTATACTAACGTATACTGAAAAGCATTCTGAGGCACCGGCTCACGCATTTCTTAGTTGGCACGCCATTGAATTGCGGCTCTCTCTGACAGCCAACCATACTTTGGCAACCCCATATTATTAGAAAAATTGATTTTGAAGAAGCTAAACCAATTTTTGTTTCTCAAAAGAATTTTACTTTTCAGGATTAAATATCTTAGAAAAAAAACTGTTTGTAGTACAAAAAGTTTTCAGAATTTCAAAGTTCCAATCATCGAAAAAAAATTGTAATTATCTTTACCTGTATTAAGGGGAATTCATGGACAGTACACTTTTTTTCTATAGAACTTAGATATCTTTTTAAATTTTCAAAATGAATGACTGGTGAGTTTTAAATGGAACACCCTGTATATCAGAGTTTTCACAGAAAAACACTACAATCAAAGTTAAATTAAAGTATTGCTTGGGTACTGATAAATAATACCAAAATTTGTAAGCTGTAGGCTTGAAGATGTTGATAAAAAATCATCATAATCACTTTCCAAGGATGCGATTGTTATAAGCGTTTATCTAGATAATTTATTTTGAATTTTATAACCCGTTTTACACTTTTTCTCCCTTGTAAATGTAAGTCAGTGTCAAAGTAATTGCATTTACTTAAAAAAAGGAAAAGCTATTCTGATATTGTGATAGAAAGTTACAATTAATTAAAATGATATCGTCAACTTATAAAAAGTTGATAGAAATTATTTACAGGAATGATTTCGAAATGTCAATTGTTGTTAATTGGAACCTAGTTTTAATTATCTTGAAGGTAAATTAGTTATACAAAAATTAAGTTGGCATTATCAATAAATAAGTAATTGTTTGCCAAGGCGAAATTTTTATTTCATTGAAAATTTATTTTCATAAAATTATAGGAGGTTGATAAAATTTTTAACAACTGACAGTAGTAATAAAAAATAATTTACTTTCCCTTCAGCGATTTGAGATTTATACATACAACGGTGCTTCAGATATTTCTGCAAAGTATATATATAGTGCAAAGTGGATATAATGCAAACATTTTAACCAATTAACTCTTGAGTCGTGAGCCCCAGGTGTGTCCTGGACTTTACTGGGCGACACTGTTTGTACCTGTCCATACAGTGTCCAAAGACTCAAAATGAAGTATCTAGATTTGAAGTTGAAAACTAAGTTAATTCATCGCGATCTTTTTTGAAATACTATTAAAATTACGTTAAAAACATTGATTTATCTGAATGATGAGATCAGTGATCACCTGTGATACCATACTAACCACCATAATAATACTTAACCATTCTTTAGTTCTCAAATAGCCATAATTTCATAATATATTCCACCCCCACGAAACCTACTATAACTGATGCTATTGAAAAAGTAAATTAGATATCAAATTAAACATGTTTCGTCTACCTTTTTTTAATAATCACTCAGAATATTACAACTAGATAAATATTATCACGATAATGATACAAGTATAGACAAACTCAAATACACTGCAGTTATCTTTAGATATTCAGGGTACCGGGTATATGTATATACGAGGCGTTTAAAACTTAAGTGTCCTAAACCATAGAAGAGAAGGTAAGTTTTAATATTTTTTTTTTTAGAAATTTAGTGTTACTTTTTTATTTGTTCGTTCCTTCCTTAAATTGGACTGTTTTATGTAGTTCAAAAGAGCAGTACATACTCATCTGTGGATATATTTATTTGTTGCTTTTAATTTTTTCTATCAAAATTGTTTCCCGAGGACAAAGGATTAAATTTATCTTTAGATTCCTTATATCTGGCAGATATAGATAGAATATAAAAACATAATTCCGCAATATCTCGTTGAGCTTGGCGAGTATTTCTAAAAGTAACAAAATATATTGTTTGATATTTTTAAACTTATGATGTTATATCTGTGCCGACGTGGCGACTACAATTAGGTAGGTCTATTTTTGTAACATGTATCTTGCTGATATAGATAGATACAGAAACATGCTCATCGAGCGTGCCCAATCTTGCTAAACATATCAAAATATAGACATTGGCCAGTAAATGTTTTTATTTGAAATTTTAGAAATTATTTTCAACAGTTTCGTATGACTAATTACAATTACAATATTTTAAGTCAGCTTGATGTCTGCCTTAAATAATTAAATTGAATTGATTTCCTTTATACAACTTTCGTGAACAATAAAAGAAAGTCTTCCTGGGTACACTGGTGGTCAAGAATCTTAAATTTCTGTTTTTAGATAAAGATTGAATGTAATGAATCTCTTTCAAAACGCTGCTATAATCGCAGATTCAAGATATGAGTTTATTCTGTGAATAAAATGTAAAACAATTTTACTTTTGAAATGCAGGTAAGCAACACAATGAATTTATACTCGTGCTGAAAATAGAATTTTATAATTCTAATTATGTTAATATTGTTTTTTTTTAGATTTTGTAGTCAGTTTGAAACTGCTATTAAAAATGTTTCTAATAATGAGACAAAAGACTACAGAATATGCTAGAAAACATGCCCTTTCGGGATCCACTTTTGCAAAAACCCATACCTAGCAGTCCTAGAATTAAAGCGCAATTGTAGAAACAGATTTTCATACTATCACATATAACTTTACAAACTACTAACAAAAACCATAAAGTGTACCACCTTTTTTTTAAGGAATATATAAAGACGCTCTATCGAACCCTGCTATCAGATTTTGTTCAAAGATTCGTAGGAATTCGTCTTAATTCCAAGACTCCTTCGGGTTTTTGGAAAAATCTTATAGTAGGGCTCGATAGGGCATTTTTTTAGATATTGCGAAAAAATTATGCGGGTGCTAAAATTTAGTTCTGAACTTACGCCTTACACCTTTATTTTAAGGTTCCTACAGGTTTTTGAAAAAAAGACTGATTGCAGCCGTTTAAAGGAAATGCCTTTTTATAATTAATTACACTGAAAAATCCGAGGTAGCAATAGTGTAGCGGTATTTTCAATACTTTTACGCCTCTTTCACACGGACGTTATTTTGCCGATCGGTATTTAAAACGGCTAAAATTTTTAATTACACAACGTCCGTGCGAAAGAGGCGTTACGCTCTATTTAAGTATGTGTAATTTAAAATTTTAATCGTTGTTTTGCCGATAGTTTTAAATACCGATCGGCAAAATAACGTCCGTGTGAAAGAGGCGTTAGTAGTTACAACTGGCGCAAAAGGTTTATTTCTTAAATAGAGCATTTTCCGCTTCATCTAAATGTAGTCGTGGTTGCTATCTATCAGACGTTAATTAACTATTGCCCTAAAGTCCTACAGGGCAACCTAGTTCATAACCAAGTTCCTAACTAGCAACAAACAAACGCGATGTCTTGCTTGTTTGTAAGACCCTATGTATTGCCCCGCTCACCCGCACCGACTGCCGTGTATGAAAATATCAGACTTTGAGCAATGCCTTCCGACCTCTTATCTTTTCAAAAGTAAAAACAATTGCCCCATACTTTTCATTCAATCGCGAAACTTCAAGAGAGGGCAAACGGTATCTAATAAGCGGCACTGGATCCTCGTAGTAACCAATTGTCATCCGCGAGTGAAAGATAGATTTTCACTTGTTTGATGTCGACGACCATGTGCTTTTTGTTGTGTACTATCTGCCAGAACAGTTGCCAGATAACGGTGTAATGTGTAATTATTTCTTTAATGGGTACTGATCGTTGATTTCCATAACTTTGATTTTTTATGGTTTTTAATTCATGTATCTACGTAGGCGTCGAGGGACTGCTATTTATTTTTTGGCAATAAAGAAGGTAAATTTTACAACTTTTATTTTTGTAAAAAAATGCGAGTACTGAAATACTTTTGAGTGATATCATAATTTTGGCATAGAAATTCGAACGCATTTGAGTGTTAGCAGAGCATCGGCCTACTTATTTCTAGGATTCACAATCCAAATATTAATATCTTCCTTTGTTTTGTGTTTATGTTGTAGTGGTTTGTAGATTAATTTGTTTGTGTTTTATTTTTACAAAACGATAACAGTCATTTAAATTTTACTTTAGATACACATTTTGGTGGCACTGGACTAAAAAGTATACTTACATAGAAGTAAAATAAAAATGTTTTTAATTGTCTCAAATTCAATCAT